TGAAAAAGTGTTATTCGTTTTTTGATATCTTTTCAAATAAAGTCAGAAAAAAATAAAATTGATATTGTCAAATTCTCGTTTTTCCCAAATATCTCAGCAGGCCATGAAAATTCTTCAAGTTTCTAAACGGCATGTAAATGAGCTTTAAAGAACACAACTTTTTCCTAATTTAACCTAAACTGTATCTCCAACAGGTACTGAGATTCCCATGCTTAGGATCCTTATCTTGGACACATTGTATTGTCGAATTTTCTCACGCCACAAGAAAAACGACTGCAATTGTTTTGTATTTTTTGTGGGTGATTTATATCAAAGCAGGCCCGTATTTTATATCGCAATATGCTATTCTAGACAATATGAGGGTTTCGCAAAGTTTCGACTTCAATTTGGAAGTCATATCTCTACTTTGATAGAGTTGACGTAAGATACTGTACGAGCTACGACAAAGTAAATTTATATATTTGTGTTATTTCAGATCAGCATTCAGCCACAAACCCAAGTTCTTTCCTTCTGTAATTATTTGTAGTAAGTCTTGTCCAAGTTTGATTTCAATTCTTCTTTCAATTTCCCACCTTTTGTGTTTCGGGTCAGAAAGTATCAGCCGAAATTTTTTAGAATACAATTTCAGGTTGTGGGCTATAGATAGATCCAGTAACTTTTGTAGATCGCTGTTAATTTTGTCCATTGCCACCTGGCAGTTACTTGAAAGAAATCGATAATATAACTGAGTGTCATCTGCATAATGATGAACTGTGCAACGCTCAATTACTTTATGAAAGTCAGATATATAAAGAAAGAACCGAATGGGGCCAAGGATAGAGCCCTGAGGTATTCCATAGTCAACAGGTAAAGCACTAGAACATTTTCCATCCAGGCATACTGCCTGAGTCCGATTTTTGAGGTACCTTTTCAATAGATCTACAGAAATGACATTTTCCTACACAGAATATTGTGGTCTAATGTATCGAATGCTTCACTGTAGTGAAGAGTACCATGGCAGTTACTTCATTATTATCAGTTGCTTTGAATAAATCTTGGGTGATGTTGACAAGAGCGGTGGTGTTGCTGTAGAATGCATGAAATCCAGATTGAACATTTGTTGTTAAATTATTATTTTATACAAAAGAATCAATTTGATCTTTCAAAATCCGGGTTTGGGTTTATTCTAGATGTTTTTGTGTTATCTCCATGATCTCTTTGAAATGTATTGTGAATGATGATTGAAACCTCCAGATGCATGTAAAATAATGGATGTTTGTCATATTTTGATTGATCCAAATTGTTGAAGTTGTTCCTCTTGATCACTTGGTGATCGCGACACGAAACACGTGTTGAAGTGTTAAAATAGCGGTTTGGTGTTAGGAAAAACCCCAGTAATATTAATTACTACACCAATGGTTCCAAACAGTGCATCACAAGTCACTTTTTAGGCTGAGCAAAATGGCGTTTAGAAGTTTCAGTCCTACGTTTCGTCTCCGAGAAACCATCACATATTTAAATTATTTTAATAACCTCCAAAAAGAGCAGATTTTTCAAAATGTATTCGTTTTATTATTTCTAGCGATTGGACACATCGTGAAGCCTAACTATATGAATAAAAGTATAAGTTTCTATTATAATTTTCAGGGTATTACTGAAGAACAACAGCAAATAATGGATTCTCTTCACGCGGAATGTACTTCCCAGACTGGTGTATCAGAAGGCAAGTATAGACTTCTATGATTTCCATGCTGAATAAACCAAACAGTGCTACAACAACTTGTAACATTTATATTCGGCATTTGGTTACTTTTAACAGGCTTGCAGTGAAAGCTCCAGCAAAGACAGAATACGAATCTCATTCAACTGTCGATGCAGCAGCTTGGCTTTGCCACTGACCGCTTTGAGAAAGAAGCATTATTAATCTTTGATCTTCGCTTCTATATATAGCGTCTTCTTACTAATGTTCATCCAGATATCAATTTATTATTTCTCCTGTAGACGAATCCCTCGACGACTTGATAAATATTATTTTCTCCCAGTTATTTGTGTCGCTTAAAAATAAGAACACCGAGAAGAATAATATTTGAAATTATCTCTACCATAAAAGGAAAGAAGGGAAAGAACCCCTCTGTATACGAAGTTTGGGAATTCAATCAAATAGTGGTAATAGACAATTTAACAAGTCCGCTGTTTTCTTGACATATACTTTATATCATTATGACTTTACCAAGATAAATGTGACCCTACGGCTTTCTAAACTTGTATTCAAAATATCGAATTGAATGTTTTCAAAGCAACATCAATCTTACTCACATAAATGGCAAAAAAAGTATATTTTCGTGCAGATAAACCGATAATATTTCAAGAATTACAAATAGGGTTTACATTAAAACTAACTTCACCATTTTGAAAGAAAAAAAATTACCTTCTAACATCGAGATAGATATTAGGTAAACAAAAAACTTTTATATGTGCGAAGATATATGTTGGGACTGTTTTCAGTTGTAAACTCAGGAATGATTATTTTTCAGAGTCAGAGTCAGAAATGCTTTATTGTCATAAAATTTTAGGTTTTGTTGACAAAGCAGGCTTAAGAACTGAAACAATCAGAAACATTAACATAAAGGTCAAGAATTAAGAACGAGATATTAATATGGCTCAAGCACACTTCAAAAAGTTTATGGAATAAGTCTGTGATAAAAAATGTTATATGTTGACAAAACAGGCTTAAAAACTAAAACAATCAGAAACATTAAAATAAAGGTCAATAATTAAAATTAGATATTAGTTGGAATTATAAGTTGCGAAGTCACCCGAAAGAAATTCCTCAATAGTATAATAAGCTTTATCTAGCAAAAGTTATTTTTCTTTTTCGAAACTGTTTGTAGCATTTCTGATTGAAAGGGGAAGATGATTGAAGTTTTTCTTGCTATTATAAAGAATCGAATTTTCAATTTGTATTTTTGACGGGATAGAGAGAGGAATATTGAATGTGAGACGAGTGGCATAATTTCTAGTTCCGGTAATGAATCTCACTGCTCTTTTTTGTGTGTGATTTGCCTGATTACTTGTGTTTTACTCAGTAGAATTAGCAACAATATATTTTTCTCGAAATTTTAATGTGAACCAGATATATGATAGATATCACTTCTACCAAACAATTCGATTGTTTTGCGTTGGAATATATCAATTCTACCTTCTTTTGCAGATCTAATAGTGAATGCACGAAATGGCGATTTTTCCGAGGACAATAAGCTTAAATGTTACATGAAGTGTATCTTTGAAGAATTGGGAGCAGTAAGTATATTAATTTCCAGTGATGAATAACTATAAGCCAATGTTTTCCAACCTTCTTGAAAACGCGACCCCACTACAACTAAAAATAGTCTGGCGCCACATGGCATTGATTCATTCAATGTTTTCAGTTTCATTTATATTGAGGATATCTAAATTGATCGAAACAAGTTGTCAAAGAAGAGCCCACAATTCACTATGCAATTCAGGCAGTTTGTCGTTTGTATGCAAAATGTATTGGTATTCATAACGACAATGCTATAGCTTGTCATCTGAAGAACAAGATGGTCCATTACAAAATCAAAATAAATAATGTCAAATGTCAGAGTCTTTGTCACATTCTTACCTTCTAATTTGATTGGCATACTAAAACGGGTAATCAATATTCTGAACGTTAAAGCGGAGTCTTGCATACCCGACTATTCTGAATCATATGTGAAGATAAGGGTCCTGTCTATCAAAATCTTCACCTGACCTTGAATAGTGGTCAGTTGGCTCTCCAAGAGACTGGTATTGACAAGAGTTCCAGAAAAAAAGCGACGATATAACCCTCACTATGGCATCAATAAAGAGTCGACCATGAATATCTATGATAAATGAGGCTCCCAAAGGCAAGCCGCTGAGCTACACTCGTCGTGAATATTTTGAAGAAGAGCCTCAGAGATAAAGAAGGAAACATTCTAACATTCCTCGGGGAAACTTCGTTTATGTTCATCATCTTTGCGAAACAATGTTCATGAGTCACTCGCTTGTGTAAGAAACTGCATGGAATAATAATAATAATAGCTTTATTGTCCAACATTTACCCATTTACAGGACTATATAAACTTTCTTTCACAATACTTATGAACAAAAAAGAAAAACTAATTCTAATTACCTACTTCAAGTAAATGTTAGCAATTCTAATAATGTTATGAAGGTTAGTGAAGAATTAATCACCATAGGCACAAATGCTATTGAAATTTGTGCACATAACATATATTGGGGAATTGAGCATGATGTTAGTTCTTGCTCTGAGAGGTCTAAACATGGATTGAGATCGTGAAGCTGGCCGTGGTACATTAAAGTTGATTTGTTCAAGAATTTTAGGACAGTCAACTCTCTCATTCACTTACTTGAATAAAAACATGAGCGACGTACATTTTCTACGATGCTCTAAACTAAAAAGTTCCGAACGTTCATATATGACATCATTACTGACACCTCTCTCAGGATAAGAACCATCTATTCTGAAAATTAGAAATTTACAAAACTTTCTTTGAACTCTTTCAATGGCTATGTTATGAATCTCATAGAATGGACTTCAGACGAAACTTTTTGTGAAATATGTCTACCAAATGTTAATTTATGATCGAATATTACCCCAAGGTCTTTGATCTCATTACATCTCAGCAGATCTGAATCCTGTATTACATACGGGAATGTATAAACCTCTTTTTTTTTACTATAACTCACTACTTTACATTTCTCCACATTGAGTTTCAATTTATTATTGCTACACCAAGCAACAAGAAATTGTAATTGAGATTGAAGATTTACACAATCACCTACTTCCTTAATTATACAAAATAATTTCAAGTCATCCGCGAAGCATAACCGCTCACAAGCTAAACTTTGACATAAGTCATTGATAAACAATAAAAACAAAAGAGGCCTAGGTTGGAGCCCTGAGGCACACCAGAAGAAGCTATATATGTTCTAGATTCATAACCGTTATAGGACACGAATTGTTTTCTACATGTCAGATGGGATTGCATCAGCTGACAGGCAGTATTTGAAAAACCAAAACTCAACAGTTTATTGAGCAAGACACCATGATCAATTTTATCAAATGCTTAATATAAATCCGTGTATATAACATCAACTTGCCCATTGTTATCTAATGCTTCGGAAATAAACTGAGTAATAATGACTAGATTTGTAACAGTAGAACGCTTAGTAACAAATTCATGTTGATGTTGAGATAGTTGTCGTTGAACAGAAGCATATATGCGATTATATAAAATAATCTCAAAAATTTTAGAAAACATACATAAAATAGATATGGGTCTAATTCTCTATATATGATTTTTCACCACTTTTGTATACAGGACATACTTTAGCCAATTTCCAAATATCTGGGAATGTTCCAGATATCAGACATGAGTTATAAATTGTCGTTGAGGGTTTTGCCAATGCTCCTGCACAATCCTTCAACAAAAATGATGGGATCATATCTTGGCCTGATGTCAGTTTGTCCTTCAGTTTTTTAGTTGCAGATACAACCTCATTTTCTTGAATGGGGTAATAATGAATATGAACATTATTATTCACTGTACCAACTTTGTTCAAAAGTGAGCCAGATTTTGAATACACCTCACTGAAAAAATAACTGAAGGCATCAACAATATCTTGAGGATTCTCGAGTTTGTTTCCTGAGTAGGTTACTGATCCTGATATTCTCGTGCTGTTATTCTTAGAGTGAACATATGATCAGAATCTGCTAGGATCTCTAGACAACATTGTTTGTATGTTTGCAAGATAGTTATCATGTGCGGTTTTTATTTGGTTTTTAATCAAAGCACGTAAACGTTGGAATTCAAATCTATCCTCATCACGTCTAAATTCCCTGAATTTTTTTCTGAATTTACCCTTCTGTTTAATGTTTATATGATATCAGAATGAAACCATTTAGGATAAACATGACTAAAATTTTTGAATTTGGCTACATGATCCTCAAAAATACCATATAAAATTGAATATAGGTTATCGACTAATTTATTAACGTCCTTGGACGTACCTAAATTACTCCAATCAGTTTCCTCTATCTCTCTATACAAAGATGGAAAGTACGCTTTCCTAAAGTTATATGTGATATTTAACTTGAAATTCTTTTCTTTGATGTGTATATCAACTATTTTGATAATACTTAATGCAGGTTGGTGGTTATCTTCAGGTACAAAAGACAAATTTTCATGGGTAACATAACAAGAAAAAGGAGAAAAAAATTAGATCTAAGATTCTGTTCAGGTAATTAGTTATACAGTTTGACTGTTTATACTCAAGCATGTCAAAGTAGTTGAGGGAATCAATCGTTTGTAGCAAATCCATATCAACCCCATGAAACAATGCTTGCTTAATTTAAAAAAAATCATCAACCTTCTGGAACTCAATTCTGCAGCTGACAAAGAGCATAACCTTGAATACTTTCGTGAATAATAATAATAATAATATAATAATTTACTTGTTCTCACATGTATGTTCTTACTAGTATGAATTATATGATTCAAATTGTAACATTATATGAAGCACTAATTAGATAACAAATGATAACAAATGAACTGAAAAAACCACAAAGTTGAAGACTGTCTGTGGTGTACAATTGGCTGTTCTATTTGTGAATAAGAAAACAAATCGCATAGATTTAGCATCTGACGGTATGCTCAAAATGGAAATACATTTCCAAGTATCTTGTTTCAAGGTTACCCACCATTTTTGTAAGTGCCCAGGGAGAAATGTAGACAGTGATATATTTTGCTGACTTTGCTTCTATTATGAAACAGTCACAAATTTCATCACCTCAAATATCTTTGTGGGCACCATGGCTTCTGTCGTGGTTAAGTAACACAATTTTGCGACTCTCTTTCATATATTAGATGCATGCATCTAGTTTCTTGATTTCTATCCAGTTTTTCAAATAATTTAGAAAAGGTAAATGAAGATTATTTTCAGTTGGAAGACGATGGATCAATTGATGTGGATGGCATGATTGCAATACTACCTGATGAAATAAAAGAAACAGCCACTCCTATTTTCACGAAATGTGGCACACAAGGTAACTTTCGTTCTCAAATATAAAAACACCCATAACCAGAGAGCACTGTGTTGAAACTTTTTTCTGAGTATTTCACCCGCATACTGTTTACTGTTATTTAATCGCCTTTGATGAGGTCTACCGCAATTGTAGACGAAGCATCATCATTTATCGTAACCGAGGGACCATGCCGCGGCCCTCGGTTACGATAAATGGACCTTCTCCATTTTGTGTATCTCAGAACTTGCGTTCTAAATCATCTCAATGTATAACAGTCACTTTCCTGACAACCCCATATGCCTGATGGACGTTGGATGTATATATTTCCTGATAACCTTTGAATGTTATTGGGTCAGCCAGTTCAAATAACATTCCTCTCAGTCATATGGGGTTGTGAGGAAACTGACGGTTATACAATTTTCTATTAGTTTCAGTGAATCGATAAATATTACTCAATCCTTCATTTACAGCTGGTGTTGATGTCTGCGATGCCATATTCCAAACTCATAAATGTTACTATGCTGGAAATCCTCAGGTGAGTAACAACAATGGGTAGACAAAACAGGTGTATCTGAATTTCTTCATATAATTGTGCACATTTATTTTTCTTATGATGGTTCTTTTAAATATTCAGTCATCTGCATATTATTTGGTTTCAGATGTACTTTCTACCCTAGGCGAAGAATCTGGATCGTGAAGCTGAGCAACCATGAATGATAATTAGAATCAAGAGACCATATTGTGAATTTATATAATGTACCGCAATGACAATATTCATTAGACGAAATCTGCTCCAATATTTCAACTTTTTTTTATATTGTCTGCTAGCCAAATAAAAGCAAAATAGTCGTAGGTAAAGGACTTTATATCAATGAACTTTAGATGAAACTGCTTGCCGGTTCTTGACGGTTTTAATTTTTTCTGTACGGCGGATGAGTATTTCCCAAAATTTCACCAAATACCTACACGTTATTGCAGTTTCGTCCTACAAGGACATTTTCAAACTATGTCCTTCCGGGACGAAACCGCAGCAATGTTATTTACAAATAAAAGTGGTATAGAAACATAAGAAATTTTCAATTCTCATTTATCATGATGATCTCCTAGCACATTGTAACGGCTACATCCGCCAATCTATAAAAATAATACATGTCAGACAAGTCACTGAGTTGAAGTAGCTGGATTCCTCACTAAGGCACAAAAATTACTTGAAATTTCTTGATAAAACATCCGAATTTGTTTGAAATATAATTTACCGGTAGAAGACCATGTGTTGGGTATCAAAGAGAGAGAGAGGGAGACAAGAAATATGGCAATGACATATGTCATGGAATTAAGTTTAGGAATAGTTTGGAACCGTTCTGGTGTAAGTGTGATAAAGGGACATATTCTGTTGATTTTAAATTTAAATAATAGACTCCACAAATTCTAAAAGAGTGACCTGCGTGACATCCGGTCCTGGATATCATACAAATATGAAGTTTATTGAGTGTCTTGATATAAATAAAAAAGGTAATAATTGGACAAAGCACTCAAGAAATTGGCAAACCATAGACACGTGTTTCGGGCTCATCGTCAGTATGGTGCAGCGAAGTGTAAGAATGGGCAACACTTGGTTACCAAAAGAAATAAATACAAATGCACGGAGCCACCAGCAGGAGCCAGCCACACATTTGTGGTTTCAGTTAATAGATATTGTGTTCACAAGAAAACTACCAAAATCACCACGAAGGTAGCTATAGCCACCTGCGTGACATCCAGTCCAGGATACCATACAAATATGAAGTTTATTGTGTTTTGATATAAAAGAAGAAGTTGATAATTGCACATAGCACTCAAAAAATTGGCAAACCATAGACACGTGTTTTCGAGCTTCTGGACCATCGTCAGTATGTTGCCCACCGTTACATTCAGCTGCACCATGATGACGATGGGCCAAAAGCCTGAAACACGGTTTGACAATTTCTTGAGTACTTTGTCCAATTTTCAACTTCTTCGTATAAATATAAAACTATAAGTCTGTAATATTGATGTTACTTCGAATGGGCTGCTCAAACGGAACGGAATTACGTTTCAAAATTCCTTGAAGAAAATCACTCACAGCCATAATTAAAACCAGTTACATTTCGTGACAGCTCTCATTAATAACAAGAGAAGATCTAAGTAGCATAATTAGTTATTACAGTCATTAAAACTTTCTCAAATCCTATAAAGTACAAAAGGAATGCAACTTTTATAGAATCCCAGTCGTAATAGGAGTCACTTTGGACAGAGATAATGCTGATAAAGTTTTGTGTTCTCTTAGTTGGATTTATTATTTCCAATAGAGGAGTTTTAGTGAGTATTTACTCTTCCTGTTTCCCATCAATTCATACTCGAAGTTTTCATTTTTGCCATCATTGTCATGTCACAATTGAGAATATCATTCTTTGAAGAGATGAGATTTAAACAAAACTTCAATTTTAGTTAAGTCGAATTTAGAATCATTCAAAATCAATAACAAATACACATTTATCAGATAATGGAAATAGTGAAGGTTAATTCGAAATGAATTTGAAGAAGCCTGTGGTTTTAGCACAAGAATTATCGTAGAATTAGATTTTCGTCTCAGAGTTGAAAGAGAAATGAACTTTTTACTCAACAACAAATATCGCACCTGCTTATAAAGAAACGTAAAGGTAACGGGAAGGTGTGATAGGAGCTTAATAAAGCATCAAAAGTTAATGAGGTTTGTACAGTTTTCTATAAACAAATCTGCCAAGAGGTAGTCTAATTTTTGGAACTGAAAAACAACCATGCGGAAAATACTTACTGTAAAATTGCACCACAAAATTCCTCAATCAGGAAAAACTCTAATTTTCTATATTACACTTTCTCGGAAGTTTATGAAGTCACATTTCATTCTGAACTCCTAATAGCAATGTCTTGGGCGGTTTCTCATATGTCAGAAGCGACATAAGAAAGACTACACAGAGAATGTAAGCACTTTTTATGTATTGATTTCTATCGATATGAGACTGAAATTCACTTCAGCACCTGCTCAACGATTTTATCGCCCGCCGGGCGATAAAGTAATCCGCGAGCGCTAAAGTGCTACTTTACGCCCGCAAATCCGGGCGATAAAGTGCTAGTCCACACCCGGTCGTGCATGAAAATAATTAATGGAATATGATGTATTTTAAACAAATCATGTTCGAATATATGTAGTATAAAACTTTTTGCGAGAGTAGGTATCTACAGAATCTATTGTCTATTAAATGTTTCCTGAGTAACAATAACAAAAATCATCAAATATGGGATAGAGAAAATTACTTTTGTCTAATTTCCACTGGACCGAAACCGGTCATAGAATACAAATCTTAGTGGAAATTGGACAAAAAGTTTTCTTTATCCTATATTTAATATGAATTTCCACAAAATAAATAGGTCATCGAACAAACAAGAATCATATTCAATGATAGTATTTTCGACAAATTTTTCACAAATGGATAACTAAATTTTTATTATGTTTCAAAAAAATATATCTAACCATGTGAATTTGCTATAGTATATAATTCAATACTTCAGAAAATGCATTTGGTATATTTACTAAATGAAAATTGGGAAAAATCAGACATAAACTTGAATAACGTAGAATTCAAAGGCAGCTTAACATTTCCTTTCAATAAGCCGGAGTTTTTTCTCTGAGATATCGGGGGTGGAGTATATCAAGAATTACTTCACTAGTACGGACTTCCATTGTCTACTATATAAAATGATTTGAAATCCCTGAAACAACTGAAAAAGAAGAATTCAAAATGAATGGCTGAAAATAACAATTATATTAACCAAAATAAACCTGAAATGAAATAATAGTGAAATAAAATACAAGTAAAAATAGAACAATTGAATNCGATTGATGGTGGTTGGATTCGTGGTTCAGATACTGTCCCGTATGAGTGGGTTTTCGGTATACAGATGTTTCCCACTTAGTGTCGGTCCTCTTCACCAAAACGTTTAAGAATGGCAATTCGTTGTGGATTTCCTTCTCCATCGTGAAATTGATGAAAGGTCTCACGCTGTTGATGTGTTTGATGTTTTTATTTATTCAACTGTTCTATTTTTACTTGTATTTTATTTCACTATTATTTCATTTCAGGATTATTTTGCTTAACATAATTGTTATTTTCAGATATTCATTTTTAATTCTTCTTTTTTAGTTTTTTTAAGGATTTCAAATCATTTTATATAGTAGACAATGGAAGTCCGAACTAGTGAAATTCATCATGAAACATTGTCAATCATCTTCAAACAAGAATTACTTCGTCTAGTTCGAAAAATGAGGTGAATTTTGCTTTTTTTCCAGTCCTTGAAACAGTTCTGACATGAAATTTTAGGTATGTCCTTGAGCTCTTAGCGATTCGGTTTTTACCCCCTCAATCGTCACAAAACACAATCCTTTCATAGGTCTCTTCAATCTTGGGAACATGAACATAAAAATTTGATTCCAGGGGCTTAGCGAGGAAATGCAGGAACTGGCAAACATGCTACACATGACATGTGTGGATGAAACGGGAGCCAAAGAAGGTATGGCTTACATTGATTTTTTTCTAATGCTGCATTGTGGAAACAAAACAAAAAACAAGTAATTATTCTGGCAATATTCATTTCGGAGCTGAGAGTATGTTGTTATGATCATATGACAGTTCACCAAGATACATCAAATTTAGAATAAATATAGTTTAAAAAAACTAAAAAACACGCTTTTGAAGAACATCGATCTGAAAAGTTTGAAATATTTTTTTAAATAAGCTTAAAACAATACCGAACGAAAAATACTAGTATTATTTACTGAATCACGGGTAATTGTAAATATTTAAATATTTCATCTGTAGTACAAAATCTCGCTAACACTCATAATTCTTAAAATATGTTTTTTATTTTGATTTTCTTTTGAACAACCTATCAAGGAGGTTATGTATAGCGCCATCTGCCCGCGAATAGCTCAAGCGAAGTTGATTCTTACTGTTATTTTCTATCCATTCTCTTTTATGCTTTATAGTTTTCATATTCTCATACTTACATTTATGTGTTGCATGAGAATATTCATTATTATTATAATTATTATTTATTTCAATATGTAGCTGACTACTTTTTCACGCCAAAATGCTGAAATCACCAAATGTTCAAATATTACTTTCAATTTGTATAACTTATATTATTTGAAATAATAACACTTTGACAATAATATTTTATTTTCGACAATATCTTTCAAGTTGTGTATTTCATTAAAACAACGATAAAAATGAAATAAAAACAACAATAAAAATTAATTGGCGCTCCGGGGCGACTTCATTGATTCCAGCTGCAGGAAAACCCGGAAAAACCATCGCCAGAACACTTCGTGACACGACTATCGTATATTATATTTCTTAGAATAGTAACACTTTGTCAATGAGAATTCATCTTCAACAATGAAGTATATTTTAATTTGATTTGATTGCAATAATTGACAGTTAAGTAGAGCGCCATCTGTTCGCAAATAGATCAAGCAATAATTGATAGTTACGTACACCGCCATTTGCTCGCGAATAGATCAAGAAATATCAATTAGGTTGCGAACAGCGCCATCTACCCGCGAATAGATCAAGCAATAATGCCGATAATTCTGTGAATACAGATCTCGATCTTGAGAGTTACACACAAACATGCATACAAACAATCATACATACATACATACAGGTGAAACTAATAAAAAGCGTGTAAAAAAAACTAATATTCCCTAATGATTGACCAAATATGAGGTGAAATTATATAAATAACTGATAACATCATTACTTTTCAGATGATATACTGAATGCTAGGAAAGGAATATTCGCTGATGATAATAATCTGAAGTGCTACATTAAATGTATCATGGCACAGATGGCATGTGTAAGTTTTCATTCCAATTTCTTTCAGGGTTTCTATCTAACTAAGAAAGTTATTTGAATGTACTCAGAAATGTTTCATATTTTAATTTCACCGGTTCCGAAAGAAAATCATGTCACTAGATTCCCTGTCACAAAAGAATAAAGATTTGAAAATTGATTTTCACTTTAGTAAAAAACAGTGGCTTCCCGTTTTCCTGGTTGAAATGATTCAGTAATAAAGTAAACTCACTGTAGTGGGTTCGAAATTGGTCAGCTAGCAAACTGACTTTCCTTTCACATAATTTTCTTGTGATGAAAAAGAAATATAAACTACTATACCAGTTTTGCAGATCGACGAAGAAGGAATCATTGACGAGGAAGCTACTATAGCAGTACTGCCGGAAGAGTATCGAGCTAAAGCTGCACCAATCATCAAGAAGTGTGGCACCAAAAGTTAGTACATTCATTATTTACAGTAAACAGTATATTTTTCTATGAAAAGTGAAAAAATCAAATTTTCACATGAACTAAATCAAATGAGAGAAATGTTAAAAGATTTGGATTGGTGAAAAGATGATGTAACGGTAAAAGAAAATTATAAATTACTGAAGATGAATATTGATAAGAAAATTTCTCTCGAAAAAAAATCGCATTATGAAGCAATCATTAATGAATCGAATAACAAAATGAAAACACTTTGGCACATTGTCAACAGAGTTGAAAGAAAACATAAATCTAACAAAATATCTGAAATTAATTTTAATAACGAGGTCCTAACCGAACCAGAAAACATGTCCCCTGTGTTTGGACGATATTTATCAACAGTGATAACTGATAAATTGAATGAACATTTTGGTCAACAGTTTTCCACACAATGTACCACAGGTGAATTTAATCCTGCATCAATGTTCTTTGAACCCGTCACAAAGGACGAAATACTTGAGGTCATCTACAGATTCGGACGAAATTCCTATTTCAATAATTAAAGACACCAGTGATATAATTGCACCAGCTTTCGAGCATATTATCAATCTGTCCGTATTGCAGGGCAAATTCCCCTTTAGCCTCAAATTAGCCTCTTTAATTTTTATTTTCAAAAAAGGCGATCCAAGTAATTGAGAATTATTAGCCCAATCGCTTTACTAAGCATTTTTTCTAAACTGATAAAGAAAGTAATGGCCAATAGAATCACAAATTTTCTCAACACATATCAGGTTTTATGTGACAACCAGCATGGGTTCCGTAGTGGCTTATCAACTGAAACAAGCACGATTGAATTTGTTCAATATGTCAACAACAAAATGGACTCTGGCGAATTTGTGATCTCAATTTTCTTTGATCTCACTAGAGCTTTCGATTCGGTCGATATTTCTTTCATATCTGATAAATTGAATAACGTTGGTGTCCGCGGCCCAATCAATGAGTGGATCGTGTCCTTCCTCGAACGAAGAAAGTTGATTGTTAAAATTGATGATGTCATCTCGGAGGAATTTGAAACAGATATTGGTACACCCCAAGGAAGCGCACTCGGTCCTCTAATTTTCCTCAGCAATTTTCAAGCAATTTTCAGATTCTTATTCATTTTAGAATTGATCTAATTTCTTAATCGTCCATAGGACGTTTTTTCCTTAAAATGGGTCTAAGAATTACCTCCTTAAATATTAGCATGTGTTTAAGGAACACCCTGTATATATACATACACATACACACATACATATATACATATATATACATACACAAACATATATACACATACACGCATATATACAACATACACAGATGTATACCACATAAATATAATAATAGATAATTGTTTCCTATACACACATATAGAATTGGATTACAAATAAAAGTCATCAATACTGTAGCAGTTCTTTGACAGAAGAAGTTGCTTCAGTCTTGATTTAAAAATGTGTACATTTTCAGAATTTCTGATATTGTCGGGGAGTTTATTAAAAAGTTTGCAGCCTTGAAACTCAAAACTTCTTTGAAAAAGAGCAGTGCGATGCTGACTAGGTAATAATAAGTGGGCATTCCGAGTAGAATGATTATGATAGGCTCTGTTAGCAGCTGAAGTGTTTCTATTTCGATAGACATATGTGCAAGCTTCCATTATGTATACTCCTGCTAGCGTTAATATTTTCAAATTCTGAAAAGTTTCTCTACAAGAATCTCTATAGCCCAACTTAGCGTAACTCTGCCACCCTCTGAGAGATTTTTTCTGCATAAATGTTTGTTGAAAACATAAACAACTGAATGACATGTTTTCAACATATAATTGTTGACATAAAACGATAGCATTCAATTTCATCCTCGTTATTATTTATCTCATACATAAAAAAATCATTTGAAGGGTAATGAATGTATTGATTATATTCTCTTTCGAAGTATTGTAAACAACTTTCATACTAATCCATGTACTTCCATAAACTTTTTACAGAAGGATCCACTCCTTGTGAGAATGCTTGGCTGACACACAAATGTTATCAGGGTGAAGCTCCTGAAGTAAGTATTCAGGCAAAGCGCGTAAAAAGTTCATCAAATGTCTAACTTCTAAAAAATGAATCAAATCAAAATCAATAATTGGAAATTCATTATTATGAGTTTATTTGTAACAAACTTGGTATAGGAAGAATATTCGACGTATTCAACGATAAAACAGGAGAAAAATCGATTCGTAATCAGTTGTACCATATGATTAAGGTGTAAAAAATAACTTAACCTTGGAGTTTGCTTCAGGATGGAATGAGACGCATCCAAAACTGATTCCAGAAGTTCAACTTGACGTTACAATTCAAAATTTAGAGCTGACGTATTTCTTCAACCAACTCAAGTAGATACCTAAGAATCGAAAAATAATACCAAACAGGAATTATTCACCAAGTTTCTATATTTCTATCTGAAAATTTTCAAATTGTTTCCAAACCACACATTTTCGTTTATGAAAATATCTACAAATTTGTCGCAAACATCACGAACATTGCGAAAGTACCTCTTAAAATCAATTTTTTTGCAATATAACACAAATACTACATTGTCCGATCTTTCCGGGTTTATTAACCGTGGTCTGTGGCTTTTTATGGCCTCGCGTTTCGGAAAATTTATTATACATCGGCCGTGGAAGCCTACACGAGATGACAAATATTTACATCACTTGTTGTAGAATCAAGAACACATTTTTGCATGGAACTGATGATTTTTTTCCAATTTCAGGATTACATTCTGGTGTAAGCACTATTTCCAACAAATCAAACGATATTCTATTCGTAATTATTGATACCTCGTTGTAATATATCCACATTGTGACATTTTCATTATACATTATACACGATAATACAATGTCAACTGTGTTTTTATCTTATAAAATGAGCCATGAGTTAAGTGCGCTGGTTGATTCAATATTATGTCTTTAACCGTGATTGAACCTCAAAAAATAGGTAACTCTAACATATTGTGGTGAAAGGAACAGAGATAATTCCGGGTTTCTTTGGAAAAAACAACGTGGAAGTAGCATTTAGACCACATGCCAGGTGATCTGGTTTCCTTTTCAATGCCAAAAATAAAGTGGACAAGTTGTAGAAATCTGGAGTTTATAAGCTCAAAGTGTAGGGGAGACTGTTGTACCTTGATCATAGTGTACCTTGGATCACCCTTCAGTTTCCTGACAGATGCTACCATCTGCACCACAGCGACTGAACTAAGAAAGCGTTTACTCAGTAAAGTGCAAACAGGCGGGAAAGTGGTTGTCTATGTGCTATTGTTTCTGAGTAGAGTTGAATTACATTTCCTTTGTGCGAAAAGTAACGAAATAATATTCCTCCGGAATCACTGCTTATTGGTGAGTAATATGTTGAGCAATATTCCAGTTTTAGTCCTAACCTAGAATGTTGAGCAGGTTGAGTTTGAAAAAACGCACCATCATGTACCTTGGATCAAAAGAACGCCCTGTACCACTGATCAGTGATCAGAGGTACATTATTTCGTTCGTTGTTATAGGTCAGTAGGTATGCCACGAAGTATAAGTGGAAAAAAAAGAAATCCTATTGACCCTGAGTCGATGAAAAAAGCAGTTGAAGCAGTTACTGGATCTCCAGAGAAAAGGATATCAATATGAGAAGCTTGTAGAATTTTCAATGTTAAATTTGCTACTCTTGTACGGCATCTTGATGCTTTCAAAACATCTGGTGCAACAAACTTTCAATATAAGGCCAGCTATGATGTCAAGAAGGTATTTACAAAGGAAGAGGAATTGAATTTAGTTGATTACATCAAAATTACAGCAAAAATGAATTATGGTCTATCCAAAAAACAGGTTCGTGAATTAGCATATAAATTTGCTGTGGCGAACAAAAAGAGGTTCCCTCCTACATGGAACGAAAGTAAATTCGCAGGAGAAGAGTGGATGAGGCTATTTTTGAAACGGCATTCCAACGAAGGTGGCCTAGCCATAAGAAAACCTGAAAAAACTAGCATGTCACGTGCAACTAGTTTTAACAAATCGAATGTGAGTAGATTTTTTGATAATTTGGAGGACGTCCACAGGCGCTTTGGTCCATTCCCACCCGAAAGGATTTGGAACCAAGATGAGACCGGCGTGACCACGGTGCAGAATCCTCCGACGATTGTCGCACCTGAAGGTGCGAAACAGGTTGGTAACGTGACGTCAGCAGAGCGTGGGGAGCTGATAACAGTATCTGCTTGTGTCAATGGTTTAGGCAATCACATACCTCCTATGATGATATTTCCTAGAGTGAATTATAAAGACCACATGTTGAAGGGAGCGCCTCCAGGAACAATCGGTGGTGCTAACCCTTCAGGTTTGTTCAACGAAGAGTTGTATTTTAAATTCATGGAACATTTCATACAATACACTAAACCTACTGAGAAAGAACGTGTATTGCTCATAATTGATAACCATGAATCTCACCTTTCATTAGGAACCTTGGACTTAGCATCTAATGCTGGAGTAGTAATTGTAACGTTTCCAGCCCACACTTCTCATAGATTACAACCACTTGATCTATTTTCCATTCAAGGCTTATTACAATCAAGCAGTTCAATCTTGGCTTATTAACAACCCTGGAAAAAGAGTTGACATTTATAATTTTGCTAAATGTGTTGGGCAAGATTATCCCAGAGCATTCACCACTATCAACATAACTAGTGGCTTCAAAAAAGCAGGAATTTACCCTTTAGATAGAGGCGTGTTTAATGATGATGATTATTTGCCATCCTATGTAACGGATCGCCCAGCTTCAGATTTAGTTGAGACTGATACTGGGGTAGATAACACCCCACCTTCAAAGAGAAAGGATACAAGCTGCTGTCAGGAAAGTGTTGCAGGGCCGTCAATTAGCCAATGTTCGTCTGTGAGATATTCCCAAGAAGAGAAAGTTAATCAAAATAGTATGACTACTACTCCCATCATAACTCCGGAGCAGATCCAACCTTATCCTAAGGTGGCGGCTAGACAAAAGGTAGGCCTACAAAAAGGAAGAAAACCAGGGTCTTCTAAAATAGCTACAGATTCCCCAGAGAAAGATAAAATTCGAGAGAGAAAAAAGTCGAAATCATTGCCCAAAACCGTGAATGCCAAGAAGAGAAATAAAAATACAAGAGGACACATTAAAAAGTTGAATTTTGATAGTGAATCTGAAAATGAAGATGTGGATTTAGTCTTAGAAGATGAAGATGATGTAACAGACCTACTGGACATAATTAACCAAGAAGTAAATGAAAGTCAAGAAGAAACTGATTTTGAAAGAACGACATTTGAAGAGGGGGACTATGTTTTGGTAGGATTCAGCAAAAAGCATGGGCCACCGGTGCAATATGTGGGAAAAATCATTTCCAGAGATGAACATCATTTTGATTACCAGATTAAATTCTACAAACGAATTGGAATTGGCAGCAAATTTGTGAAAGAGTCTGAAGAAATATTTGATGTTGTAGCGGAAGATATTATGGTAAAACTACCAACTCCAGTAGAGTTGAGTGGATCGGCTAGAACTGATGGACAGTTATGGTTCCAAGTAGACTTTTCTAGCTTCAATGTCAACTGATTCAGTAAAATAGACAAATTGAAATAACGTTACTTATACTTCAATATTAATCTTTTTGCAATGAAAGAAATTAAATACTCATTTCTGTATAAAAATGTTGTTTTTGATACATACTATAGGTACAAGACGTTGATGATCCAAGGTACACGAAGGCATGATCAATGGTACATTATGGTCTTGTACCATTGATCATATATCAATACAATATATATGTTCATTTTTTTCTATTGCTGTTCAATATTTAAATTTTCAAAAATTACATAATGTGTAGGAACAATGGTGCTACCAGTAGAGACTCTCTCCGTTATTATATTAAAAAAAAACAGCTTGTAAAAAAATTCAAATGTGAATCGTGATCCAAGGTACAACAGTCTCCCCTACGGTGTGTACCAGTGTTTATGTGGTTGAAATTTCTCAAAATGGTGTGCTGAACATGAAAGGTTCTTCAAACTGGGTAAAAATGATTCGACATTTTCAAACCACGGGATGCAACCACAAGTTCCCGAATCTAAACGATACAAAAATTTTGCACTATGCAAGGAAAGGTTGCAAATTCAATTACTTGAAATATTTTGAAATTCATAAGCATACAAATTGCGGATGCAACCTGTTAAATGATCAAATCGGTCTAGTTTACTCACCAGTTTTCAAATTAGCGTATCCATATTGTCACAAGTAAACAAAATTCAGGTACTCTAAGTACCTCTATTATTACCTACAGTGGTGTTATATAAGGGCTAATGTAATCAGTCACTTTAAGCTTAATGTGTAATTTTGAAAATGTCCTTATAGGACGAAACTCTGTCAACATTAGTTACAAATAAAAGTGGTAAAAAACATAAAAAGTTTCAGTTCTCTTTTTTCATGACGATTTCCTACCCACGTCGTAACGGCTACATCCATCAATTTATTTTTGGAAGATTGTTTCATCTCAGCTGATTTCCTACTAACAACGATTTCGAAAAAAATCACGTTTCTCATTATCACGAGATGAATAAAAATGTTTTGAAACTGTTTTCACCAAATGATGACGTTCACACAGGTGTGTTTGCAGTTACATTATGCAGATTTTCATCGTTTGATGCGACTCACTTCAACTCGGTCAAAAAATAAATTGCCAAGTTCCATTAAAACACATGCTTCTGGTTTCCTTGATCTCTTTAAGATGAAATTCAGCATTTGTAATGAGTACGGAATAAACCAATTAAAATAGTCGAAAACTAATTTGCTGCCGATAAAACCGCGGTAGGATATGATATTCAAAACAATGTTATCTGAAACTTGGATAAAAGAATTTTTTGACTTCTTAAAAAGATGATGGATCCCCACCGCGTTTATTTCAGCAAGGTAGTCCTGAAGCAACGAAAAGTCTGAGATTCATGAAATTATCTGTGAATACTGTGAAAAAGTATGTTGGTCAGACTAAAGTAGGTATTGAAACTCGTTTCAAAGAGCATGCATATCCTATTTAGTGGATTTAAACATTTCAACGCGTCTTGAAGCATACCATGGAAAGAATGAGCATTGCCTGACATTGTTGAGACTAGACTTTTCGATGCTATCAAAGTTCTAGAAAAAACGAAGTGATAACGCATTTATGATTCAACACCAGACAGCGCCATAGGTATCATCAGTGGTACTAGGCCGAACAACGAATGCTTTGCTGCCCGCAACTGTTCTTGAATGTAAGTTGACGACATCTCCTCTTAGGAAGACGCCATCTCTGGACAGAGAAAGGCATCAGAGAGGGAATCAAGAGCATCAAGAAAGGGAATCAGGAATTTTCACTCCCATGGAGGAAAAATAGCTGTCCAAAGATTGTATGAAATTTCGTCGGTTTTGAAGTTGGAAACCTGAACTTTTGGGTTGATAAAAAAATGTCGTAACTTTTTGTTTAGAATGATCTGCCACGAAACTTAATGTGACAATCCAAATTTTACGCGGGAGAAACCGTGGGCAACAATTAGTTAAAGATGAACGTAGTTGCTTTGCGGTAGAAACTGCAGTGAAAGACAGAGATCGACTTGACTGCCTTGGGGAGCCTCGTATATCTTTGATATTCGAGAATTGAGTTCTTCGTCGATCCCATAGATGGCGTCTTCGTAAGGGGAGATGTCGTCGACTCAACTTAATTTAAAGATATTCAATTTCAACTTTGATTTAGAGACGATATATCAAAGTAAAATCATATTCAATAATTATATGTTCAGTACTCATTTTTGTTTTCCTTTCTCAGAAAGTTTCGTAAATTTTTTTTGTTAGTTTATGCAGACTTTTTTTCCAAAAACAAATCACTATATTTCACCGTTAAAAAATTATAGGTACCAGTTTTGCTGCCAAAATATTCAAGAATGTGGAATGTTCCTGCTGACGAAAATCAAGTAGTTTTCATAAAGAGCTGTAAAACAACGCATTTTAAACTTATCATTCCAACCTTTTTCTTTAAAAAATTATTTAAATACTCAAAAAAGAGGAATGAAATGATGCATTCAACATTTAAAAGGATTCGTTTCTTTTTCACCATTTGGCAACATCGGTTATAGCTAATAAAGGACAATGAATCTGTTACCTGTATGAGACAAACAAAGATGACACATTTCAGAGGCGTGCCGTTCTGTTTACTTATGTTCCGTGTTCCGAGACATTCTGTGACATATGACATTTTGCGCACCTAACCTATCTTCCTCTATGTAAATAAACAACAAAACAACTGTTGTTTATGTGGCTGGTGAAGGTGGTATTAAACTATAATTTATATTTTGCCTTGATTGTTGATTTATGAAGATAATTTTCCTTTTTTTAAAGTAGAATATCTAGGTAACCTGAACTCCGATCTAACATTCTAGGCGCTGTTGCCAATATGTGAATTAGAAACAAATCCCTTCAAAAATTAAAACCCAACATTTGAAACATCAATTTAAATACTTTTCGAAGTGAATTTGAAAAACTCATGAATTAAACTCAACTTTATTTTGTTCAAACTTGCATTTGCTGCAATAACCCAAATTGAGGAACATTCCCCATTACTTGATATGTGATAGAAAAGTAATCATCCCTATTGGTACCCCACCTTTTCCGTACGTATTTACCTCCAATAACTTATCGAAATATTCTCTTTTTACGTCATGCATGAATAGTAATTATTTCAAATGACTGAACGAACTATAATTGAAACAAGTGTATCAGTGACAACAATTTTTTCGGGTTGCCTTGGATAAGGTTTTCAAAAGTGAGTTGTGTAATGGACTAGCTTGGTGAGTAACTATGTTAAAATATGAAATTATTACTTTACCCATCTTCTAATATCTGTTTTCCAAATAGCTTTTGAAAAATTCGAGAGTAAAATATCTTGATCTACTTTATCGAAAGCTTTTTGGAAGTCTGTACAGATAGTATCCGGTTGAGATTTGTTTTCCCAGTACTTCGTATGCTTTTTAAGTGAAAGTTTGACTCTATAGATTTATTTCTTACAAAACCGTTTTGCTCTGCCCTGATATAATCTGTTATATACAAGATGTTCAAATAATTGAGCTGGGGCACACATGATAAATATTGGCCTATAGTTTTCAATAGACGTTTCATTGCCAGATTTCAAAACTGGAGATACTATCTATGTTTTCCATGCAGAATGAAAGACATTAGTAGATAAAATCAAATTGAAAATATGCATCAGTGGTTATTTCAACCAGTTAGCTTTGATGATGTATTGTGGTATGCCATATAATCCCACTGATTTTTTAGGTTTTAATTTTTTTTCTGCGTAGACAAAGTCTGAATCGGTAATACTATATAGAGATTGGACACTTCTATATTAATGGTGGAAATAAATTCTTGAAACTACCAGTTTCCCCAAGTCGACGATGAATATTTGAAAAGGTTCGGCTATCTGGTAAGGCACGATTAGGATATCTTTCCTGATAAATGCGGCTGGCTTCTGTTTCATTACCTTCGGCAAGGCCATATACGTAATACATTTGCGCCATTTCCGCATTCGTATAATTTACCATTCCTTCGCCTGCCTCCATACCAATGCGAGCTCAATCCCATCGAGTTAATATGGGCGGATGTGAAGAATTTTGTAGCTCAGTATAATACCACGTTCAAATTTGCAGATCTCAAAGTACTTTTTGATGAGGCTTTGAAAAGAGTCACAGCGGAGAAATGGGAGAAGTGTGTTCGGCATGTGATATCGGAAGTCGAGACATAGATGTGGAAGCTTGATAACATAATAAAGGCACAAATTGAGCCACTGCTAATTCAGATTGGTGAGGATGACACTACTGATGAAGAGACAAATTCATCCAGTTGAATAATTTTGATTGATATTTCTTTTGATTCAACATAAAATAAAAATTATCAATAAAGAAATAATTACGTCTCTTTTCATACAATGCTTGAGTGCGCTGTGAAAAATCCAATGAAAATCTTTTTATATTACACATATTATCTGCATTTTTTCCGTTAGATTGCAAAACTTGTGCATTTCACTCGTTATTATAAAAAAGTTTTCCTAAGTATGATATAGCATTTGCGATCAACAAGATGTTGGTTCTGAATACAACCCTGGCCAATTCTTGGGATTTTCAATATCACGTGCGTAGGGCATGTCAATGTTTACATCCACTCTATCTTGGATTTGAATTTGCTTTAGTGCCACAGTATTACAAGATAATGTGTAATCCGCCATTTTATAGCTGCGGCCATCTTCAATATGCATAGTTTTCAAAGTGTTTTACTATTCTACTAGTCAAGCTCTGTCATTTGATACCCATTTGGGGTAGTTGTGAAATAATATGTAATCCGCCATTTTGCAGTTGCGGTCATCTTGGATTTACAATGATACAAAATTTATTAAATTGTATAGCCATCGAAACTGAATGTTTGTATCAAATAACAATATGTCAACAGGAAGGGTGTCAAACTTCAATTACTAAATTTGACCCAAACAAAACCGTTCAATATAAATACCTACATTTTCCCCAGATATGATCTATGGTTGTTTTTGTTACATTGTGAAGATGGAAAGAAAGAAAAAATTTAATTGTTTGCTATAAATTGGTTACTAAGCAAGCAGTGAAAATTCCAATGAAAAGAAAACATTTTTTTGTTATCAAAAAGCAATCTTATTAGTCAGTGGGTCAGTGATGACAATTTGTCGAATTCTTAATAAGCATAAATGGCATCCCTATAAGTTCTACTGTGTCCAACATTTGAAAGAGACTGATTTACCTCGTAGAGTGGAATTTTTTGAATGGTTACTTGTCAAGACTCAAGAGGATGAATATTTCCTTGACAATATCATATGGACAGATGAGGCCAAGTTCACAAAAAATGGAGTTTTCAATAGACACAACGGTCATTATTGGGCGCCAGAAAATCCCCATGTTATCCGCCAAAGGGGTTTTCAAGAAAGATGGCAATTCAATGTATTTTGTGCCATAAAGAATGAGTCAATTTTTCATATCGATTTTTTATATGATGATAATTTGAATGCATCAAAATATGAAGATTTACTGAGGAATGGAATTCAAATGATTTTAAATAATAGACCAGGAAGAGAACGTGTATGGTACCAAATGGATGGTGCTCCACCCCATTATTCTCATTCAGTCAGTGAAGCTTTAACCGAAATCTTCGAAGACAGATGGATTGGTAATAATGGACCTTTTCGTTGGCCTCCTAGAACACCAGATGGCAATCCATTAGATTATTTCGTGTGGGGTTTCATTAAAAATATGGTTTACTCTACTCCAATAACAACAATGGAAGATATGAAATCGAGAGTTACAACTGCTTTCAATAGTTTGACTCCAGACTTGATCAGAAGCGTTACACATGACAATCTTTTGAAGAGATTACATGTTTGTTTAAGTAGAGGTGGAGATGTGTTTGAACATATTCTGAAATACACTGACGATTAAATTAACTCATTAATTTATGGGTTTATTATTTTCAGATCGTGTTTCAGCGTTAATAAAACTATTGTTTGAAGAGAAGTTTCATTCGATGGTTGAGTAGTAGGTATTTTAATAATTATATTTTCATTGTATTATCTGTGACTAATTGAGAAACATCAAACGAAATCTGTTTTACAAAAATGAGTGATGAACAAGGAAACCATGTCAATTTCCGTTTGAAACAGTTTATCTCGAAAACGGTTCAAAATAGAAATAGTATTATCTGAACAAAGTTAATCTGAAATTAGATGTAGAGCTCAAAAATGTTGAAATATTTAGGGTGTTTCATTTGAAAAAATTGAGTTCCACTCATTTTTTCATGAGATCAAAGTATCTGCATTTTTTGAAGACCCTCTATGAGGCAAATGAAAATATGACTCGGAGTGAAGATCCTCATAGTATCACTCCACTCCATTTCAAATTTGATCATTTTAGTGCAAGAGAGTTCAATATTATCAGCATTTATAAAAGTTCATGTTTGGTAAAAAAAATATCGAAATTAATTTATATCTTCTGAACGGTAATAGATAGGTATAGGATAATAGTATATGAATTTGTTGACAAAGGGATAATAAATCATAATATGATATTATATACGGGGTGTTCCATTTGAAAAATCAAAGAGGCCGCTATTTTATAGTAGAAGCGACAACGCCGCTTCGTCTAAAATATTTTAGCCGTGTAGGTCGTATTGACTTATGCATACTGTGGAATTTTCAGGTTGATCCGTTGAATAGTTTGCCGGAAACGGCTAATTAACGCTCATCATGAAAAGCCCTGTATACATGTGCCTGTTCCAAAATTGAAGGTTGACTATTTCAGTTGTATTGCCAATATCTTCCATTTCTGAATCTTTTTTTAAATTTGAAAAATGTCAAATAGTTTTTGAGGTATTTGTAAAAAACCAAACCCCTTTTTCACTTAATTGTTTTTGATATTTGCAATTTCTGCAAAGTAATTCATATATTTATCAGAATTGAACGTGTGGGAATGTATTAAAACCGCTAATGAAAATTTTCGAGTGTTTTTACCTCGTTTCCACAATAACCCATTCAACTATTGCAATAACTATTCGACAAATGATTTCAACACGCAAAATCTTGAGACACTCGAATTGCTCTTTTCGAAGTATACCAATATTACTGATATTTTAAATCAGTTCTGGTCAGTTAGCAATCAAGTCTTCCACGGTTGATACGTGATGCCTAACAATCGATTATTCTTCTAGTTACTCTCGTGTGTCTTAGATTCAGTATAAATATATTTGCTTTATATTTATATTTCTATCTGTAAGTATCTTCTTATCACGCATGGTTATTTTTTTGGTCGTTTATAAAAAGTGGAAGTTGGACCAGCAAAAACAGTAATTCGGTAGTTTGCTTATACCATTCGCCATTATTGGAATGTTTTGAAGCGAACAAGGAGAGTTTTCAAACTCTGAAAAATGAAGAGTACGAAAAATTTACTGTTATTTCTTTATATCAAATTCATGTGATGAAGTAATACTAAAATTTCTTGACAAGAGTTGTCTTGCATTCAGCAGCGCTGCTTCGAGTTTTTGCTAGATTGTTTTGAAAAAATAAATCGAATCAATAGTCGCCCCAGGTAAAAAAAGTATTGTTATTGTTTTGTGTTTCATTATTTGACAACAGACTTATCGACTTTCATAAAATAACAGGAGAGCTACATTGGCTCATTAATTTTTATTTCTCCTACAAACATTTTTCACACCTCACTGAGTTTCAACAAAGGTTTTTGGAAAAATGATTATTTTTTACAGGCTACACGTAAAAATTCATTCTACCTCTGTCTCCCATCGAAATATGGATGATAGTAACTCCAGCGACTTCAAGAATAAAAAAGTGCATCCACAATTAGAATCAAGTCACTTGAATAATATTTTTTTTGGGTAAGTTCAAAATTATTTGAAGGTTTTTGAGTTTCAATACATCGAGATGAAACCGTATTCCAAAAACAAAGCATTCATGATTGAACCCCTGACAGCGTTTCGATTCCTCGAAGTATCATCAGTGGTGCTAATAGGCTGAACCACAAATTCATTGTTGGTCTCGAGTGTTTTCAACATTTCCACCCAGAGATTTTTTTTTCCACATTACACAAATTAGTAGAAAGTAACTGTGTTGCATTGGCATTATATTCATATTTTGAGGATTTTGATGCAATGATAAACGAATCAGAAACACCAACGTTCATTCTGAAAATACAGAAAATTCTATTTAATTTATTCGAATAAATATCTATTACGAACTTTTTGTTCACCATGATAAGTTACTGCCTAAATTCAAAGTTTTTTTCATAAAAAAACATGCTAACCAAAACAGAATGCACTCAATTAATTTCCGATATTAGTAAACCTCTTCATTTTTATCTTTTACCAAAAATACATGAACCTAATATTCCCTCAAGACCAATTGTAAGTTCAATTGGATCTCCCTGTTAAAAGTTAGCAGTATACCTTTTAGAAATTTTCAAACCAATATCAGAAAATTATAACAGTTTTCTGAAAAAAAACAACCCAATTCATAAATAATAAACTCACAAGTCTTTTCTTTTGATAAAACTCTTCAAATTGTGAGTTCCAGGTTGAAAAATGACTCATCTTCAAAACATCGAGCGATATTAGTTCTGTAGCCTTAGTTTCAAAATTGTGTATAGACTAAACCTATTTTCAATGTAGATCTGATTTTCTATCAACAAGAATTTGGCATGGCTATGGGTTCCTCTTTATCTCCCATCTTGAGTAACATATGTATATGGGACATTTTGAATGATATTTTGTTGAGACTTGCTGGAACGGTCTCAAAGTTTGATGAAGATATGTTGACGATATCTTTACTGTCTGGAATCAAAACCATGATGATCTGAATGTTTTTTGAATAATATTAACGAACAGGAACCGACAATAAAGTTCATAAGAGAGATTGAGAAGATGATCAACTCCCTTTCCTTGATGTAATGGTAGAGACGACGTCAGATCAATTTGATACAGATGTTAATCGAAAGAAAACACATATATCTCCACTACACATCAAATCATCATGTAACTCAACTGAAAATGTTAATACAGTGGTATCATTATTAAAATATGTTCTGAAAGAGAACGCTTATCAAGAATCGTTTATGAATTCTACGATACAATAGAAAATGAAGAATCAATTAAAAACCAAAAGACCATACAAACAGCATCACAAATTCAACAACCTCCAACTCATAGATTACCGACTCAATATCCACCAACACCTTTTACACCTCACATTCCAGGTCTTTCTGAGAAGATAAGACGAATTGGAAATAGGTATGGTGTTAGAACTTCTTACAAAATGAACAATAAACTGAGATCTACACACATCGGAAAAGTCTAGGGATATTTTTATTACATACTAAATATCATAAAAATAAATGCATGAGGTCGTTTAATTTCGAATAAATTGATACACTCGACCACCCTGTAGATTTCTATGGGTTGAACAAAGCCTGCAAAAACGGTAACTAATCTTTAGTTTTTTACAAACTGTAGGTTTTCGGCTAAAATGAATAATCTGAAAGCGTCGAGTTTGTACATTCTCTGCAGTTCTTGCTCAGCAATTAAACTGGAAATATTGTGCTTTAACATGGAACGCCATCACTTACCATTGGCTAAGATGAATAGAGCTGTAGGGCTTCTTCAAGGTGGCATGCGACACAATGATGTAGCTCTTCGTTTGGGGGTCTCCCAAAGTGTTATCAGTCGATTGTGGCGGCGTTTCCGTGAAACTGGCAGTCCAGCCGAACAACATCCAGGGCGAGGACGCGCTACAACTGCAGTTCAAGACCGATTTTTTGTCTTAACCGCAAGAAGACAACCGACAATCACAGCACCTGAGTTGGTTAACGTGTTGCAGCAGACGCACCAGGTAACCATTGGTCGTGATACTGTCAGAAATCGACTGCATGAAGCAGATCTCCACAACAGAAGGCCACTCAGATGTCCACCTTTGTCGAGAGGCAATCGCGGTAGAAGATTAGAGTGGTGTCAAGAACATCAAAACTGGGATGCGAATGATTGGGCCACAGTTTTGTTTACAGACGAATCCAGATTTGGATTTCATCCAGATTCTCGTCGAGTAAGACTGTGGAGACGACCTGGAAATAATGAACGTTTGAGACACGTCCAGGAAGTCCACACATACAGAGGTGGTACAGTAATGCTATGGGGCGGAATCATGATCATCTGCAGAACCGATCTCGTTTTTCCAAATCGCTCCCTCACAGCTCGACAGTACCTCGACACCATTCTTCTACCTATCGTCCGTCCGTTTGCTGGTGCTGTTGGTGAAAACTTCCACCTAATGCACGATAATGCTCGTTCACATGTCGCGCGTCTAGTGACTGACTGGCTAACCAACGAAGGAGTTGATGTATTGCCATGGCCAGCACAATCACCGGACCTGAATCCCATCGAGCATGTGTGGGACATGCTTCAACGAAGAATTACTCCGCATATGGGGAACATTCACACAACGTTTCAATTGAGAGAGCTTTTAATCGCTGAATGGGCAAATGTACCTCAACAAGACATTGACAATCTCATTTTGTCGATGCACGATAGATGTAGGGCCGTAATAAACCAGCGTGGAGGCCATACTTTGTACTGATTCCAATTTTTTTTGTATTATGATTTTTTTCGGGGTGCCAAAGAAGAGACATATTTTTTTTTAGTTTTGCTTATATGCGCACTCAGTATTTTGACCATTTAATAAATTTTGTTGTAAGTTACATTCGTTTAATAATCACACGTCAACTTTTTTTTCCCTAAAGCGATCTAAAAAAAAATTATTGCCATTTTTAAAAATATCCCTAGACCTTTCCGATGTGTGTATATTCACACATACAGAAAAACAAAAATTTCTCAAGTGCGATGACTGCAATGCCTTATATACAGGGCTAATCAAATTCGCTTCTGTACATGGGGATTTCGTAAGCGATAAGAGATACAGTGTCGTTTAAAGTATGGCAAAGTTGCGTATTTTAGAGACCTATTCAATAATGTAAAGAAATCGAATATAGCTCTTTTGGTTCTGGAGATATACAGAAAAAACCAAAAAATCCCAAATTATTTTTTCGCCTACATCTTCTTTATTCGCTGACATATTGAAAATCTGTCCACATTTTGCTATTGGCGCTTGATGTGGGCTCTCAGAATATATCCATGAATCTTTTATACAGGGTGTCATCTGACTTGGGCCACCCCCATCTTTGAATTTTTAAATACGGACCTGTATTTTTCGTTGTAGTTTTTGGATCGTCGACGTTCACTTCATACTGAGAAATTAAATTAAATTTTATATTTCGGGATTTTTCGGTAATATTCGATTATAATTGTGTGAATTATTCCCTTTTAAATTACGGCCCTGGAAATTGGTTGACTGAGTTGAATAAAAACACAATAGCAACTTTCACGTCTCCCTATGTACCGTAGAGTTTTTGAGAGTTTTTTTTTCATCTTTTGGTACCTATTTATATTTTTTCCATTGCTCTGAGCGTTTTCTACAATGAACTTCGAATAAAAAAACCTTCTATGATTATCTGAAACATATCTACAACAAAAATATATTACATGTGTTTTGATGAGCAGAAAAAAAAATTGTAGCAATAATAACATTCGAAACGAACTCCCCAATTATCAATAAAGTTATCAGTAATTTCCCAAATGTCTCTTGACAACGCAACTATCAACGCAACTATCAAAAAAATTACCCACGGCATGACCAGTAAAGCCAAGCTTTCTGTGCATTAGTTTTATCTGGTTAATTCGCAGTGAAAGCTGCAGTGAATGATAGAGAACGAATCTCTTTCGGCGGTCGATGTCGAAGCTTGGTTCAGCAACTGACCGCCTTTGGGAGACTCGTCTGTCATCGATATCTCTTCGTAAAGGGAGATTTTAACGTCTTCACTTTCAATACTTCAAATCAATAATATTATGCAGAAAGCAGTGGCTGGTTAATACTGCCATTGAAAAAACAACAACGAGACAAATTTGAATACAAATGATGTTTTTAAACTTGCACAACATTAGACATCCTTATTTATATAAATAATTTCACCTTCACATTTGAGGAAACCAGACAATAACAACAATTATATTTTTCAAATTTTATACTTTTTAGTCCCACTTTTTTTCATTTACAGAGATTGCCATTCCGTTTTATCAGTTGATTTACAAATTGTTAAAATCAACTTGTGGAAAACAAATTCTAATCCAGTCATTTAAGCTTAAATTAGGTAAGAATCTCGGAATTTTAGATACTCAGCTGTAAGTCTGTAAATACTTGTATATTGACACCCTAAAAGTTGTCTCAAAACCTACATATGGTAGGGTGTAAGCAACTATTAAATTTCAAGGTCAAAGGTCACAAAAATTGTTTTTTTGCGCTTTCTTTGGAAATATCTCATTTCCTATGGGTTTTTTGCTATTTGTATTTATTATCAATATTGTAGAATACAAAATTCTCTACAAATTTTGTTTGAAAAAATTTTTTATACGGTGAACCGTTTTCGAGATAGAGGGCGGAGAGCGCGCGGTCACAGCATCACTTCAGGTCAACCGGTGCCTCCGGTCGAGAACGCGACATATATAGTTGATGACCTATCGATAAATCAATGATTATAAATATTTGTCAATTTTTATTAACTGTTATTTTCATTAAAAATATTTACGCTATTTGTTTTTTTTTTAATCTGGCGGCACTTTATTGTTGAAATCATAAAAAATTGTGACTGTTAGCTGTGTGAGTTTTCGAATTTTTGAGTTGTCATAACTTTGTTGATAATAAATATTTTTTCATGAAATTTTGGTCACGCCTATTTAGAGGCACTCTGAATATCGTAGTATGGCCTGAAACTTCAATAAAGAATTCAAATTTTGTCCCAGGTAGACAGACCTTTTAGTATTTGACATTAAAAAAAATTATTAAAATCGATTCACAACTTCAAATTTAAGGGGGTGTTTCCATTAAAAATGGTTCACCCTGTATATATCGATTTTAACTGTATCAATGGAACTCAATGAATACTATGTGTGAGGAACTTTTAAAAAACTGTGCATCATGTAACTGGAAACGATTCTGTTTGTTGTTCAGTTTCAATAAATTTTTATTCTAAGACCTAAGAAGCACTTAATATACCAAACTTTAGCATCCTAGGCTTTACCAGTACTGAAAAACAGAGATAAATGAGTGAGTGTTGTGTAGCCATAAATCAGGTGACCGAAGAGGCCACTCAATTTCACTTCTTATTCGAATTGTTGGCGTCCCACAATTCCGTATCTTCTAAAATCGAGTGGATGGATTTTCATAAACAATCGGAAATCGAACACTCTAACATTATCTTTATTAAATAAATGGATAGGAAAAAGCTTCAAAACTTCTTCGTGTTTGAGACATTTTCGTATTCAATTTTTTGACCGTATTATATTATTGATATAATCATCATTAATGATATTATTATTATACATATTGACAATTTCCTGTTAGTGTTTTTATGTTAACGTAGTTCCAAACTACTCTGCTTTGTTTTTGTTTGACCATCCTATATAGTACTCCTAAGCAGAAAATACAAAATTGAGTGTTCTCTTGGAATTCACCTGATGGAATTTTCAGTTGGGGTTTGAGAATATTATACAAGGGATGGAATAAAGACCTGGATGAAGACGATCTTTACCAACCCTTCGAGGAGCACGAATCCCACATTTTAGGCGACCAACTAGAAGAAATATGGAAGGAGGAAAAACTGAACAAGTCGAATCCTTCTTTAGCACGAGCGCTATGGAAAATGTTCCGAAGACGGATATTGTGGCACGCTTTCTGGACGTTTGTTCTGGAATTTGTTCTGAAGTGAGTATTTTGCCAAAAGCAGCCACAATAAATGAAATATAAGTGTATCGTTTTTTGTTTCTATCTAACAACAGATATCTGTTGTGTTTGGTTCCTCCTTGGAAACAAATACAACTACAGCCTACGGCAACGTATAAAAAGACAAACATCGACAAAAATATCTTCAGTTCAAGTTCAGCTACCAAGCAGAGCACGTGAATATTGCAAGTGGGAACTTTGCTGAAACGTTGTGACAATATCAAAGACGTAGCATCATCAGAAGATGACTGTGTGGCGGCGTCATTAGTCCATACTTCTTTGGGAAAGGCGTTGGCCAGGCGAGCGACGGCGAGCACTATAGATCGATGATTACCAACTTGTTTAGGCTTGAATTGAATGATATGGGTACGAACAACATGTGATTTCACCAGGACGACGCTATATGACACAGCTCATACCACATTGAATACTCTGCACGAGCCATTTGAGACCATGTTCATTCCACGTAGAGGTGGGGTGAACTGGCCACCGAGATCGTGCGATTTGATCCCGTTGGACTTTTTCTTGTGGGGTTTTCCCAAGTCGCAGGTGTCAATTTCAGGCTGATTCATGCGGAAGGGTTCCATTTTTGGACCTTTATAGTTCATCATTCATACTAGTGATGTTTTCTCGTTCTTCAAGTATTGTAAAATACAGAGGCTCATGCTGATGACATTAATGTGGCACAAAATCTCTTCGACGCTGATCTAGATTTGATCAATTGTCTATCAAGTGAACATGATTTGAAACTTAATCCCAATAAAACATTGATGATGCATTTTGGATCGCAGAAGAATCGTAAATTTGCAGAAAATAATTTCCACTTAGAGCTTGGTCATACTATCTCGACTTTTGTCAATACAGCTGTTGAAAATTTAATGAAACATGCCATTGAAATTGTTACACTGCATTCGTTTAATTTTAATCCAATCTCTATAGTATGTTACACATATTTGGAATAACACCATCAACGCTGGTGTTCTCCAAGGATCCATATTGCCTCCAACCCTCTTTTTATTGTATATCAACGACTTACTGGAGAACACCAAGAATCCAACATATTGCTTTGCTGACGACAGCACACTTATCTCTTCATTACATTTGGATCCTAGGGCATCGGCTATGGAAGCACATCTTGTTGGGTATTGAAATGGACATCAATATATCTTGGCACAATCATGTCGATGGAATTGCAAAGGCTGCGTCTCAAAATTTTGGAACACTGTTCCGAACCAAAAAACTGTACACACCCCAGCAACCTTTGTTGCTTTATAAAGCTCAGATCAGACATTCTTTGGAGGATTGTTCTCATGTATGAAGCTCCGCCTCCAGCCATACCTTGAAGCTGTTGGTTCCATCCAGAAAAGACCCAACTAACCTAACCTCGTTAGGTAAGGTAATGATTCGTCTAGAGGCATATAAAAACATATCAAAAACATATTGAAATAGTGACCCTGACGTTGAAGTGTTTCCAATAGATTCGTATTATTGATTTTCCAAATTCTGCTAATCAAGTATGACTTCACATTCTTGTTTTCAGATTATCCCAACCGATATTTGTAGGAAAACTCATGACTTTCTACGAGCCAAACCAGAAGACCGTATCCCCAAACGAAGCCTATTTGTACGCGTCACTGATCGTCTTCACCTCCCTCATGTACGTCTTGATCTGCCACACATTCTACCTGGACGTCCAGCATCTGGGAATGAAGATGAGGATCGCCTGCTGTTCCCTCATTTACAGGAAAACGCTGAAGCTGAGCAAGAAAGCTCTTGGAAAAACCACCATCGGGCAGATGATCAATCTTTTGTCGAACGATGTCAATCGGTTCGACACTTGGTTCAAAAACTTCCATTTCCTGTGGGCTGCCCCGATTGAGGCGCTGGTGATAATGTTCATGCTCTTCCACGAAACTGGGCTCAACGGACTGACGGGGTTCTCGGTGTTTCTTGTTTTCATTCCTTTGCAAAGTAAGTTTACTTCAAACCTCTCGTAGAGGATGAAATATTTCCAGGTCTTCTTTAAAACGGACTGGAAATAATATTACCTATTCTCATAAAATTGTGTAGAGCTAGTCTGGCTTGGAACTACATACCACCCAGTTGCTTGGCAACAAGGTTGGTATATATACCTAAAGTGGGTCGGAGAAACCCACACCCTAAATCGGTACGACTAATCAGCCTTACATCCTTCCTGCTGATAGGACTTGTGAGGATACTGGACGGACATATCAGGAGGTTAACATTATATGCATCCCCCCTGAATAACCACCAGTATGCTTATCATATTTATACATACAGGCGAGGCCATCAGGTTCAGATTCACCAGAGGTGAATCCTTGCCATCCTGGCAAGGTCCACGTCGTGAAGGGTAACTTGTAATATCCTCCAAAGCACGTTGTTCACAGTTGGTGCCTGAGGTAGCAGATGTCTGTCAACCGCAGTAAAACTCTTTCAATCCCCTTCACCAAGAGGAGATGATTGGACGATCTGACGCCACTTTCCCTCAATGGTGTGGTCATTCCATTTGGAACGGATGTGAACTATCTTGGCATTGTCCTTGATAAAAGACTCATCTGGAACGCTCACTTGGAAAAAGTTTCACACAAAGCCAGACTGTCTCTATGGTCATGTCGAAGGATTTGTGGTAAAACTTGGGGTTTAGGTCCCAAACAAATCCATTGGATTTATGTGGTGATTGTCAGACCACTTACGGTGCAGTTGCTTGGTGGTCAAAGGCTTTACAGAAAACAGCCCAAGCGGAGCTGTCTGGCTTACAGATACAGGCTTGTCTGAAGAGAGAGGCTAGATGGACTGTATATAGACTTGTGCACTCCAGGAGGACTGGATCCTCCAGGAGAAGGGAATATTGAGAGCAGATAGTTGTTGGTTCACCTCTAAGTACCTCCCCTGGAGGTACTTAGAGGTACTTGGCTTGATTGAGTAGTAAACAAAATTCAAAATGACGCATTAATTTTGAATGTTATTTGTTTCAGTGCTATTAGGAAAATTAACAACGATATTTCGACAAAAAACCGCTGTAAAAACAGACGAACGAGTGAGGTTGATGAGCGAGATCATAAGTGGCATCCAAGTTATCAAGATGTACACATGGGAAAGGCCATTTTCCAAATTAGTAGAAGAAGTTAGGAAGTAAGTTGACTGAAACATATTCATATTACAAATTATCTGAGAAACTAAAACACCAAAACATAGACAAAACCTACATTAACCAAATGGAACACAGTCTAAATACAAAACTTAATCAAAATTATTTCGAATCTGAAGGGAAAATTTATAAACAAACAGATGGACTAGCAATGGGATCCCCACTATCTACCATTATATCCGAAATATACCTGCAAACCATAGATGAGAAAATCTTAACAATAATAAAAACACATGATGAAAAAAGGAGAAAGGTTCAGATACGTTGACGATGGACTGTACATATCACAAAACAATGGAATAAGAATAGAACAAATAAAAAAAAGAAATTAACGAAATAAATCAAAAACTATGTTTCAGCATTGAGGAAGAACACAACTCATACTTAACTACCTGGACATAACCATAGGATATAACCACAAAAAACACAATTTCAAATGACAATATACAGGAAACCTACACAAACAAGCTCCACCAGACCCGCAAATTCCAACCATCCACCATCACACAAAATGGCTGCCTATAACGCATTCATATATAGAATGTTAAGGATACCACTCAGCAATGAAGCCCGAAACAAAGAACGGAAAGTCATATACCAAATAGCGAACGAAAACAGATACACCCAAAAGACAATAGATAAACTAGAAATCAGAATCGAACAAAAAATACAGAACAAGGATCAAGCCACCCCAACAGACAAAACAACACAACGATGGACAGCATTTACGTACGTAGGACACCAAGCCAAAGAACTAACAAACATCTTCAAACCACTGAACAAGCCGAACACGAAGATAACACAAGAAATAAACAACTATGAAAAAGAAGAAGACAAAGACCAAAACGGGATATACAGTATACAATACTCGGACTGCAACAAATTCTATATCGGCCAAACCAAGAAAAAACTAATCCAAAGGTACAATGAGCACAAAAAGGCATACATAAATCCAATAGTATAGAAATCAAATCTCGCAACACACGCCATACAAAACAAACATAATTTCCCTCCACCAGAGAACATAAAACTCATAAAACAAGTCAACAAGGGAAACCGCATGGGAAAACTTGAACATCCATAAATTTAACAGCCATAAATCACTTATCGAGGAACAAGTACAAATCAAAACACAACAAGATCTCACATTCAATATATTAAACAAAACCATAGACATTCCTAGAGAAGATCTAACACAAAAGAGGCAATACAGGCAAATTTACCTAAAGTACCTGAAATACCTGAGTTGAGACGCTCTGACCGTATAAAGAGGCAGACGACAGGATGACAAGTTCAGTTTGAGGAGTGCCTAGAAGATGACAGTACTACCAACTGTCGAAAGCGCTCGCAGATAATTAATAGAAGATATAAAGCTTCAAATTCTTTTTGTAAAATTTAATATTGAAATCATATTACAAAATATTTCTTGTGATTCATTAATAATTTCTTAAACTCTTAAACTGATTAGTTATGTGTTGATTACATTGATCTTTAATTCAGCACAAAAGAAGCTAGTTACCTACGGTTCGTCAGAATAAATAAAATACAACACATAACATAGAAAACCCAAAGCACATTCAACTTGAGTCAATCACAGTTGAAACGAGAGTTGAAAAAAATGCAATAGTATAAAGTCAGTACTTACATAGATACACATTACTTCAACATATGACGCTTTAGAGAGAGGTTGTCTCTTGAATAGAAACAGGTATTTCATTGAAAGCATTTTATGAATAGTTGTGGCACATGGAAGTTACTTCTGTTAGTCGTTTTGTCTTGTTAATTAGTTTGAATTCTGAATCAACCTTTTTCTTCCACCCTTTTAGGGCAGAAATTGACCAGATGCAACTGGCAGCCTACATAAAAGCCTTCCACATGTCCTTCAACAAATTCATCACCAGACTATCAGTATTTTTGTGCATCGTATCCTACACCTTCACCGGCCACAGAGTAAACGCCAAATTCGTATACGTCATCTCCTCATTCTACAACATCCTCAAGTCTTCTATAAGCACAGATTTTCCGCAAGGAGTCAGCCAGATGGCAGAAGCTCTGGTAACGTTGAACAGGATCGAACAGTTTCTTCTTTTCGAAGAAGTCCACCCGAAGGACTTCAAGATATCCTCCAAGTCCGCCAAGAAAATCTACACCTCTACGCCGCTGATCCATGGATCCTGCAAGAAAACGGTGGGAATTTATCTACAAGACGTTTGTGCCAAGTGGTCGAGCAACGATGATAACACCATAAAGGATATAAATTTCAATGTGGGGCCGAAGCAATTGGTGGCGGTTGTTGGCGCAGTAGGTATGCTGCATTGTATATTCCTTAGGAATTAAATTGTTATCATCATTATATTTAAAGACACTTTCACAGAGTCAACACAAAACTCTTCCCTCATTTCCTCAGGTTCTGGCAAGTCCTCCCTACTTCACACCATTATGAAAGAGCTACCACTAACCAAAGGCAAGAAAGATGTTGTTGGCAAAATATCCTACGCTTCCCAAGAACCTTGGCTCTTCGCAGGTTCGATCAAGCAGAACATTCTCTTCGGCGAGGAGTGGGACCTGAGAAAATACGAGAAGGTGATTAAGGTCTGCGCCTTGGAGAGAGATTTCTCTATCCTACCCTACGGCGACAGAAGCATAGTGGGAGACCGAGGGATCACCCTGAGCGGGGGCCAAAGGGCTAGAGTTAACTTGGCCAGGGCCGTGTATAAGTCTGCCGATATTTACATACTGGATGATCCACTTTCAGCGGTCGACACTAAAGTGGGAAAGCAACTGTTCGAAGATTGCATCTGCGGCTACCTCAAGTCTAAATGCACCATCCTCGTGACGCACCAGCTGCAATACCTGAAGAACGTCAGCAAGATCTATGTTATGGAGAACGGAACGTTCGCTACGTTCGGCACCTACGAGGAAATTCGGAAATCCTCGATGGAGTTTGCCAAGCTGTTCAAGCACCACATCGACGACGAAGAAATTGATGATACCATCGATGAGCAGGCCTCGGAGGAGACGTGTCTGAAGGAGCAAGACGAGCCGATGGAGCTCAAGGAGTTCAGGAACACCGGAGACTTCTCGTGTAGAGTGTATGCGGCCTACTTCAAGGCTGGAGGTGGTTACTGTTCTTTCATCTTCGTTTTCCTCCTAATCGTCCTCACCCAGATTGTGTCAAGTGGATCGGATTATTTCGTTAAATACTGGTAAAACTGCGAAATCAGAGCTCCATAATCGCTGTAGTAGAAACAAAAAAACGGCAGATAGGGACTCGTTGCCTCCGACTTGTTTACTCAAAGACACGGACAGCCATCATTCGTTTCTAAGAAAGTTCACAAAAATCATATTTTGTCAATTTTCAAATTGACGCAAGCTATGAAGCGAGGATGTCGATAGTAAGCCAAGAACATGCTTCTCGAAAACACCTGGTCGGAAATTGAATCTGGTGCTAGAGCTAGAATAGAGGTAGGTGGCTCACGCCTGTTCTAGCTCGACCAAATAGATTCACCTTTTCAACGAAGCCGATAACTTCATTTGGTGAACGATTCTCCAGGTCAGCTAACCAGAGTGCCAAATGCTGGAAATCTGATCAGGCACGCAGCAGAGCATGCACTTTGTTAATAGGGTCATTCATTCATTGTGAAGAATAACCTTCACCAAGGTTGGCAGACCATAGTACATTTTCCTTGATTTAGACAAGCTGGTCGATGACTATCTTCGTCAGGTTGACAAGCGGAACAAATGTGCTTGGGAAGTCTTCTAAGATGCATTCCAGAGAGACGCGCTACAAAATACCTCTCTTGGTCTTTTCAGGTAATATTTAGCCACCCAGGCTTGAATGTGCAGCAGCAGATTCGTACATGAGAGCTTCCTTCTGAATCACAATGTCTACTGTAGAGATTGAGATTGTCAGATATTCATTGACCGCAGCAACATTCCCATATTTGGACGACTGGTAGAGAATCCAAAGTCATACACAAGTTAATAAACATTTTCTTGGCAAGTCGAGTGGCGTTGTAAGTTCTTGGCTCCTACTGGGCAGCGTCTGAATGGGTAGCAATTTGCCAATTCTCAACAAATTATCTCTGGTTTGGCTTCCTGGCCATACTGGCCTGCTGACTGCTGACTTCCGTGCAAAAGGGGGTGCTGTAAGCAGCTTCATCGGACCAGAACCTGTCATTGGCATCGCTTTAAGCTTTGCCAAACAAACAATGAACATCTGGATGCCATGAAGATTTAAGAACTTCTGGTAAAATATTCCAGGATTGGCTCATTCCAAGTTCATTCACCCTCCGAAGCCTTAGATCAAACAGTGGCGACACTGTATGTCGCCTCTGTTTGAAAAATGATGAAACAGCAGAGCATTCTCTTTGTGCCTGCCCCGCTGCGGACCGAATCAGGTTTCCAGAGTTTCCAGAGCACCACTGATGAGACCTTGCTTCATGTTTTGGGCCCTTGTTTCATCCTCAATATTGAAAGACAAACAAATCTCAATAGACGCTCGGTTGTCACTCCTGAAAAACAGACGGATTCATCGTTTGTTTGAAGGTGATTGACAATGTTTCGTGATGAATTTCACTAGTTCGGACTTCCATTGTCTATTATATAAAATGATTTGAAATCCCTGAAACAAGTAAAAAAGAATAATTAAAAGAGAATAGTTGTTTGTTTCAGGGATTTCAAATCATTTTATATAATAGACAATGGAAGTCCGAACTAGTGAAATTCAGACGGATTCATCTCACGCTTTCTTGGGACTATCAACGTTTGGTCAAAGAAGCATATTAAAAGTTTCAGTCTATTTAATGATGATCAATATTTTTTTTATCTTCATAAATGAGGGGAATATTTTTGAATTTTGGTCACACATTTTCCAATACTGTGAAATACTGCCAGGATCAGTTCTTGCACCCAATTAAAGTTAGACGGAATAGGCTGAGACTTGCGATCAATAACCATCCAACATCGATCATCTTTCAAAACGCATTCTGTTCTAGTTCTTGAGTAAATTCAAGTTCGAAGCAGTTTTTTATTTCTCGTTTGTTTCTATTATAGTGATTAGAGCAGCTGCATCCAGTTCATGATGATACACTCTTCCAGGGTCAACTTGGAACAGAACGTCTTTCAAAAGGAATACAAGAATAACACATTTTTCGAGTCGTATCTGGACGATGTGGTGATGGAAGGACAGTTCGATATAATTCACAACAATCCATTGGATAACAAAGCCGTTGAGGGCTTCTACACTACTTACAACTGTATTTACATCTACTCTGCGATCATTTCTCTGGTTATTGTCCTCACGATTTGTAGATCGATTTCTTTTTTCAGAATGTGCATGAAAGCCTCTATCAGATTGCACAACAACATGTTTGCTAAGGTGTGCAACGCAACTATGTTTTTTTTCAATACCAATCCTTCGGGAAGAATTTTGAACAGGTTTTCCAAGGATATGGGATGCATCGATGAGGTAGTGCCACTGTGTCTCATAGATACAATGCAGGTAATTGCACATTTTGATAAATGCAGCTCTTCAAAATCATGTTTAGGGTATGTCCAGATATTGATATATCGTAGCAGAATAGAATCGAAAAAATTGATACATGTTCTCGAAATTCAATTGATATAATCAGGTAATAAATCTCTCATCCTCTAATCCTGATTTATTCATCCAATTTCAATTTTAATTTGAACACAAAAAAATCGGGATAGTCGTAAGTTTGATGAAAAGCTGTGTGTCTCTAAGATATAGAATATTATCATTTGAATCTAATGTAAACACTGTCTCTAAATGTGTCGCTGACCAAATTAGCAACATCAGAAGATGATAACTTTTATTTCAATGATATGACAAGTATCTCCTATTCAACGGCTCTGTAACAAAATCGATCATGGAACCTTTTTTAATAATCATCAACCTTTGATTTTTCAAGAAGCGTGTTTGTTTATAAGCTCGAGAACAGGTGATCATTATATACAGCGTGACTCACGGTCGATGGTAGGTTAGACGTTTCTGGAAAACGCAAAGCATGATTTTTCTGAAAATTCCACCTCTCACATTTCCTCACCTGTTCTATCGATCTAAAATATTTTCAGCATTGCGGCGTTGCCACTTCCATCAAAAAGTCCTAGCAACTTAATTTTTTTAAATGGAACACCCCGTATATCAATACATTTTTGGAATCGCTCTGGTATTTTAATACTTTTTTGTTGATAATATCATATACCTATCTCTATCTGTTTTCGAGATAAAAAATAAATTGTGCTAAATATGGTCCAAAACATAGCCTTAATTGAAATTAAGTACATCAGTACTCTTAATTCATGAAAAGTTGATATTTTGATGATAGTTTGGACAAACTCGAAATATTCAAATAACACCAAGAAATCGACTCCATATCATACAGGGCGTGCTAAAATTACTATTATTTCCATTGTACATAAAAGTAGTCAAAAGTTCATTTTTTTCAACCCCCTGTATATTACTCGGTAAATTGAAAGATGGTGAAAAATGCTTCAAGATGATATATCATGTCCCTATACCTAAATCGTCAAGTTTTCTCAATGAAGTCGCTTCTTCTAGAAACATTATTTTTTTTTAAATATGGATTTAGGTAGCAGTGGAATTATCAAGCTTATAGTAGTTCGGTTACTTAAGTAATTTACAAAGAATTATCGACGGTGATTCGAATCATCTTCCAAAATGAATGCAAATATCGATTATTCAAACGAAGTTCTTCTGAAATTATTTATTATACACATGAACAAAGTCATGAAATCATTGTCAGAACGTGTAAAATATTCAACCAAATGTATCCTGAATTAACACCAATGAACGAGAGGAAGTTTGTAAGGTTACAAAATAATTTCCTTAACTATGGCTCAAAGTTTTAACAGTATTGTCCTCATTTGAAGTAACAGGTTTTGGTAATGTTGAAGGCGCTTTTAACATGGAGCCATTGTTAAGGAAATTATTTTGTAATCTTAGGTACAAACTTCCTCTCGTTCATTTGGTTGAATTTTCTACAAGTTCTGGCAATGATTTGATCACACTGTCCGTGTATAAGAAAGTTTTCGTTAGAGCTTAAACTCAAGAAGTCGTTTGTAGGCCTTCCACATGACCTTTGCTCAATGGGTTCCAAATCAGTGAAGAAATCATTTAAATCAAACGAGTGTATTATTGCACAGCATTTTTGTCGATAACTGAATATGTCTCGACTTTTCGCAGATCGCCTTGAATGTCATCGCAGTAAACATAGTCATAGCAACTGTTAACCCATGGATATTGGTTCCCACTTTAGTTATGGTACTCATTTTTTATCTATTCAAAGTCATTTACGTTTCTTCTAGTAGAAATGTCAAGAGAATGGAAGCGACAAGTGAGTTTATTGAAAACATACGTTAAACTTCGGTTTGGAAATAACAATTTTTTTAGCTCGCAGTCCCGTTTTCTCCCACATTCACGCCTCTCTTCAAGGATTACCAACAATACGAGCTTTCGGAGCCCAGCAGATCCTTCGGAAGGAGTTCGATCGTCACCAGGATCTTCACAGTACGGCGTATTACATGTTCCTGTGCTGCAACGGAACTTTCGGATTCTGGTTGGATCTGTTGTGTGTCGGATACATCTCGCTGGTCACTCTCAGTTTCTTTTTCATGGGAAACGGTATGTACAATTACGCTAATGGAGACGGTACTCCCCCCCTTTGAGCTCATGAAGAAAAGAGAAATGAAACTTTCTATGTTTTTTTACCACTTATATTTGTAACTAACGTTGCTGCAGTTTCGTCCTATACGGACATTTTCAAACTTATACAATAAACTCTTTGTTTATTGTATAAGTTTGAAAATGTCCTTGTAGGACAAAACTGCAGTAACGTCAGTTACAAATAAGAGTGGTAAGTTTTTATTTTATTTTTTATTGAATTAGGATTCCCTAATATACAAGTTAGCTATCTTGAAATATTATATAATCAACGAAATTTATATAGATAATACAACTTTATATACATACATAATTTGAACTGAACAAAAAGTAATTTTTCAATTTCCAATATTGAATATATTTTAACAATTCGCTCTTGAAAATCTTTGATGATAGAGTAGATTTAATTGAATCAGGTAAATCATTGAATTGGACAAAACCTTTAAAAAATAAACTGCTCAAACTTTTTCTTGTATTTGTTCTATTTATATGAATATGACTGTTGTGCCTAGTAGAATGGTGATGAATGTCCTTATTGAAAGTTATTAATGGTAGCAAGTGGGGTCATTTTATTTAATATTTTATAAATGAAAACCATGGAACAATAGAATAATCCTTCTTATCAAATTTTGGAAAATTATTTTTACGCCTGATGCTTTGTTTCAATTTTCCCCAAATCAATTCGATGAGATTGAGAACACAAAAATAGGGGGGAAGTCTCAATATAGTGTGTACATACATTTCGGCAATACTCTCAAATGTTTTTGTCTGTAAAACTTCAAGTAGTTGGTTTCTGGTATAGTTATCTTCAAAATACAAATTGTTATTCTTGAAGAACTCTGTATTTCATCTTTCGTCGAATTTTTATTCGGTACTTTGATGATCTGAGGCGAATGATAGGAAGCGTTGTAAAGAATCATCACACTATTCGCATCCAAATTTGGGATCCATGTGTTTTCAAATCATTTCTCGAAAATATTAGCTTCCATGTTCTTATGATAGTCAACATTGCAGTTCTCCAGTTTTTTCCACGTGATTCCAAAGAATTCGGAACACATCCTTTACTTCCTCCGCAATGCACAATGATTAGTCGCGATCCTTTGTTGCAGGCATGTTAGGCGTACACATTCTCGAACCATCAGTCCACTCTTTTGTAACTATGTCATGAGCGTCATATCCAGTTTCGTCCAAATAGAAAATTTGCCGTTATTCTTGTCTATATTTAGTTATTTGTTCTAAGTATTTGTTACGCAATTCCACTATTCTGTTTCTTTCCATAACTGGTTGACGTTTGTTTATTATTTCAAATCTAAATCTTAGTTTCTTTATCCAATTCTGAAGAGTTTCGTCACAGCAGCTTACGTTATGGCCGGAAGCATTCAATTTCTTCTTCATGATTTCAGTTGTAGGAATCTCATTGCTTTTGTAACACTCGTAAATTGTTTTTTTCAATGATTTTATTGAATGAACATCTGAAGGTTTTGCTAATCCTGTATCACATCGCGTCTTGCGATCATAAGGTCATCGAAACCAAACTTGAGATGTAGATTCTTATATACATTGAAACAATCTCTCTGAGTTTCAATATTCAAATGCATCCGAATCTCATTCACTGGTATCTCTTTTTCGCATTGTTCACCATCGCTATTGGAATCACTACACTGGAAAAAGTCTGCGTTGTTATCACACTCGTTAATACTTTTAGTACTTGTCCTTTGTTACTTTCTTACTGTTACAACTCGTCTTTTGTTACTTTGGCGGTTTCTCTTCTGGGTCGAATTGTTCGCTAGAATTCTCGCTATACTAATTACCCAGAAATCGAATATTTGAGTTGGAATTTGAGAAAACTATATTCAAGTGACACTTCATGGTGAAATTTTCGAATGAAAATTATGACGGTTCAGAATTAAGAGAGTGCATAACTTTGAGATGGGATCTTTGATGGGTTCCCCCTCGAATGAATAATCAAAATGTCTAGCGACTTCCAGTTTCATATACGATTTTGACACGTTGACATGTTGTATAATGATTTTCTGATGGTACTCACTATATCATTTAAAATTTTCAAGGAAAACAAAGTTTTTGGCTTTCTGCTTCTCCATCTTCATATATTTATTTTTCACTTTTCAGTCCGATTTATTGTCAAAAATACTTTTTTTTAAGTTCTAGTCACTAGTATTACAAATCTTCAACAGACGGTGCACGGAGACGGCGTAAAATTCCTCTCAAACAACATAATAAAGTTTGAGCATTGGTTTGAGGTCTTAAATTCTTTAGTAATAATGAGATGCAGTAAGTCTCCAACAGAGGGCGGACAGTTGTGAAATTTGTTTCGAAGTAATGAGAAAATTTGCAGTAATAATTTCAAAAAACAATTCAGTCTTGATGTTTTGATTTGAAATTTCATTCAAAATATTAATGAACTAAAAATATTTTTTCAGTGAATAATGTCATTTTTCGAATCAATCTTTTGATTTGATATGTATGTCAAGCACCTTAATTCTAATTTGTCGATTTTTTGAAATATTTAAGTAACTGAATTTTTTAGCTGTACAATTTACGATAAAGTTTTCATTGTTGAAATCTATATTCTGGTCTGCTTTCAAATAATCGAATTAGATTTTAAAATGTGTCTTCCGTTTCCTTCAAAACTTTTTTCTTTACTGAATCACGGGTAATTGCAAATATTTAAATATTTCATCTGTAGTACAAAATTTCGCTAACACTTATAATTCTTAAAATATGTTTTTTATTTTGATTTTCTTTTGAACAACCTATCAAGGAGGTTACATATAGCGCCATCTGCCTGCGAATAGCTTAAGCGAAGTTGATTCTTACTGTTATTTTCTATCCATTCACTTTTATATTTTATATGCTTTATACTTTTTATATTCTCATACTTACATTTATGTGTTGCATGAGAGTATTCATTATTATTATTATTATTATTTATTTCAATATGTCCACCCCAAGATGCTGAAATCACCAAATGTTCAGATATTACTTTCAATTTGTATAACTTATATTCTTTAAAATAATAACACTTTGACAATAATATTTTATCTTCGACAATATCTTTCAAGTAATGTATCTTATATTTCTTAGAATAGTAACACTTTGTCAATGAGATTTCATCTTCAACAATAAAGTACATTTTGAATTGATTTGATTGCAATAATCGATAGTTACGTACAGCGCCATCTGTTAGCAAATAGATCAAGCAATAATTGATAGTTACGTACACCGCCATCTGCCCGCGAATAGATCAAGAAATATCAATTAGGTCATGAACAGCGCCATCTGCCCGCGAATAGATCAAGCAATAATGCTGATAATTCTGTCAATACAAATCCCGATCTTGAGAGTAACACACAAACATGCATACAAACAATCATACATACATACAGGTGAAGCTAATATAAAGCGTGTAAAAATCCAAAAACCTTTCATTCCTAAAAACTAATATCTTCTAAAAATATACTCCTTTCAATTTGAAGAATTTTCAACTTGTGCTGTGTATATCTCTGCAGAAGTGTCAATATTTCTTTTCAGAAACGTACGGTGGAAACGTGGGCCTCGCAATCACTCAGGCCATGAGTTTGACTGGAATGTTCCAATGGGGAATGCGTCAGTGGAGCGAACTGGACAACTCAATGACGTCAGTAGAAAGAGTAGTGGAATACACGGAATTAAAACAGGAGTCGACCGAAGAGAAAAAAAATCCCCCGATAACTTGGCCCGAACATGGAAATCTAGATTTCCAGTCGGTGTATCTCAGATACGCCACTAACGAACCTTATGTCCTGAACAACCTCTCTTTCAAAATCAAACCCCGAGAAAATGTCGGGATAGTCGGGAGAACGGGAGCCGGAAAATCTTCTCTGATCTCGGCTCTGTTCCAGCTGGTGGAAATAGAAGGAAAGGTGCTCATCGATGGGATCTGTACCAGCGATATACCTCTGAAGTGTCTACGATCGAAAATAGCTATAATTCCGCAAGAACCGGTGCTCTTTACTGGAACCGTCCGCTCGAATTTGGATCCGCTGAATGAGTACACGGACTTTCAGCTTTGGAGCGTTCTTGAAGAAGTTGAACTGAAAGGTAGGGTTGAATTCGAATTGACAGATTCATTATCAATTATATTTGTCATTCTTTGAATACCGAAACATTTTGGTTGATGTTATCGAATACGATATAGAGATTCCTAGATCAAAATGTTGAAGCAGTAGAAGTATAGTCTATCCATTCCTAATTGGAACGGCAATAAAAATAAGAGTACAGTCATAAACATTTCTTGCCTCTGGTCCCTAGTCGCCCAGATAGTTAGTAAACGGACTATCAAATGTAGTTGAATAGGCTCGGCTAGCTGGACTGGCTGAATACAAATTTTTTGTCCGTTTCACAATATTTCTTTATCAGTGCCGTGTGTTCGTGGGGTTAGGTGAGGTAGTGAGTGGTTTTGCAAACCGATTTTTGAAAACTTTTTCTAGAGATCAATTACCCTAACACCAAACTGATATTTTTGCAATCGACGCGCGTTTCGCTAACAAGATTAGCATCTTCAGGAGAAGCAAATTGATTGAGACAAGGGTTAGCTGTTTATATACCTGAAGTTTTTTGGTCCGAAGTAGACTTTGTTTGTTAAATGATGATTATCCTAATTGATTTTTCGGTAATTAATTAGTGGAACTATTACCTGAAAATTAATTTGTCAACAATATATTAAAAAGCGGACAAAATCAATTAGGATAATCATAATTTAACAAACAAAGTCCACATCGGACCAAAAAATTTTAGATATATAAACAGCTAACCCTTGTCTTTAGATTCAGTATCAATTTGCTTCTCCTGAAGATGCTAACCTTGTTAGCGAAACGCGCGTCGAGTGCAAAAATATCAATTTGGTGTTAGGGTAATTGATCTCTAGAAAAAGTTTTCAACTTTTACACCAAAGGTTCCAATCTCATCGTTTAAACCGATTTTTGTGAAAATCTTAGTGTTTTTGGGTACTTTCATCAATATGGCTTCTTGGAAACCTTTTGAAACAAATGATAACATTACGTGTGAGGAATCTGTGTCAATCGACAGGGATCCGGAATTCGAAAATAAGGACTTACATGTTCAAGTTCAGCAAGTAATTTTAAATATTCATGAATGCTTGAAGAAGGAAAACTGTCACATTTCATAGAATGCTATTGTGGATAGAATATGCGAGTTAACGAAACTATCTCGTTCGACAGTTCTTCGAGTCATTAAAATAGGGGATGTCATTGACCATGCAACAAAACGAAAACAAAGGAATAAAAAATTCGCAAACGTTGATGATGCTACAAAAGATGTGATTCGGCGAACAATTTATGGTGTATACCAAAACAATGAAGTACCAACCTTGGAAATGATTTGGTATAAATTACTCGACTATCCCGATTACAATTACAAATATTTAGAAACTCTACGAAGTGTCTTATTGTCTTGTGGTTTCAAATAAAAAAATTGAACAATCGGATGGTCATAATGGAATCGACACGCATTGTTCAACTCCGACAAGAATATTTGAGGCGAATGAAAAGCTACCGAGAATCCAGCAGACATATGATCTACCTCGACGAAACTTGGTTTGACACCCATGATGTTGTCAAATATGGCTGGGTAGACGAAACCAAGTATTGTGCTTTGAACACACCTTCTTCAAGGGAAAAACGTGCATGCCGGGAATGAAAGTGGTTTCGTACCTAACGCTTTGCTTCTGTCGCCCAAAAATATAAAAGATTCGTCTGCTGATTACCACGAAGATATGACTGCGGCTTTATTCGAAACCTGGTTCAGTGAGCAGCTTCTCCCAAATATTCCTCCAAACTCGGTTATTGTTATGGATGACGCTTCGTATCAGTCTTGGTTATTGACTACAATACCAAACAATAACACAAAAAAGCAGATATTGTTGATTTCATTCGAAATCATGACATGGAAATACCCGAAAAGATTCCAACGAAAAAGGTATTACTGGCGACCATAAAACAACGTAATTTCAAAAAAGAGTATATTATTGATTCGACGTGTGGAACACGTGGTCATATTCTCTTACGTTTGCCTCCATACTATTGTGTGTTCAATCCAATTGAAAAGGTTTGAGCCACAATGAAAGAAAGCTTGTGGAAATGAAATCAGTCACCGACTTTGAATGCTGTAGTGCTTGACAATATAAGGCGAGTGGCGAATGAAGTAGGTAAAAGTGATGTGTGGAAGAACTGTGTAGCCCACGTTATAAAAAAAGAGAACCAATATTATGTGCAAAGTTCCATAAATCCAATCGGCATTCAACCCGATGATGATTCCATTCCATCCGAAAATAGCGAAGAAGAATTTTGATTTTTCTAGAAATTTTGTTGGCCTCTATTATTTTGTAAATATATGCTTGACGAGAATTCTGTGTGATTATTTGTGTTTTCATTGTAGGTATTTTAGAGTTTTCGACTCGGAAATCAACTACCTTAAATTTTGAAGTTTTTCATAATTACCCATGGTGGAAAAATTCAGTTGAGATAACTTTTTCATGGGGTGATCAATTGCTATTATTATAAGAATAAGTAACTGAAAAACTACCACTGAAAAATAATATGTCGACGCCTATGTCGAGGCGGGAATTCCTTCTCTGTGCTGTTCCAATTGGTATTGGAAATACTATAGAAGCAGGAATAATATTGAATATTGAAAACTGGTTCATTGCTAACAAGCTGACATTTATGGAAATAAAAAATCTACTTACCATTGCCCCTGATTTTCTAATGCATCCCCCCTGTAGCAACAATACCAAACTGTTTTCCCCTGTTTTGTTATCATATTTTGAACATATTCGAATTTTTGAATAGCCTCCCACTATGGAAGCAATTTTGAAAACAGTATACAGTATATACTATACTGTATGCTATACTGTATACTATACAATACTTGATTTGTGTGAACATAAAGGTATTCAACCAACAATAAAAAACCATTCAAATATTTCACTATCATTATTATAGGTATGGTTTCTGATATGCAGTTGGGTCTGGAAAGCAAAATCGGCGAAGGAGGATCAAATCTGAGTGTAGGCCAAAGACAGTTAGTTTGTTTGGCAAGAGCCAACCTGAGGAACAACAAGATTCTCGTGTTGGATGAAGCCACGGCCAACGTTGATCCTAAAACTGATTCGTTGATACAGTCTACAATCAAGAAAAAATTCGCAGACTGTACTGTTCTGACTGTAGCTCACAGGTATGTGTTTCAACAAGTTCGACAGATATAATCGGTAACCAAGCAATAAAAACAACAATAAAAGTGAACTTCGATGATTTACAAAACATATTTGAACGAAAAAGTGGTGAGAAATTCAAATTTGGAGAAAGTACGACATCCGGAACTTTTTGTTCCGTTATGAACATTTTTGCTGTGGTTTTTATCATTAATTTTTCAAAGTAGATTCAAACCCTCGGATAATCTATCATTGAGGAACGCCCTGTATGTTTCAGGTTGCATACAGTTATGGATTCTGATAAAGTACTGGTGATTGACGGAGGCTCCGCTGTGGAATTCGATCATCCTCATTTGCTGCTGAAAAATCCCGAAGGAATATTTTACGGTTTGGTAAGAGAGACGGGAAAAGCAATGGCTGATCATCTTATTGAAATCGCAGAAAAGGTAATATCGTTTGAAAATAGTTATGCATTTGATTACAACAGCATTTACTTTTTCAGAATTTCAAGTCAACTCACAAATGAATGAATATTCCAATTCGAATGGAAAGCTGATATTTCATTGTGATATGTTTACTAGTTTTTAAGTGTTGTTACTGTTTTAGGTATTGAATTGAAATTTCATAATATGTTTTTATGTTAGAATTTGTACATATTACACGTTATTTTATTAGAGTGGTTTATCAATTCTTTTCGCAAAACCAACGCAATTGGAATATCATGCTTGAACAATTAATTTCAGGCTCGCTAATGATCGTAAGAATGCGTTTTGGTCGTGTCGCCATAAATTCTTTGTGTTTTGCAAATAATGCGTTCACTTAAAATTTCTCAAAAAATTCAGATGTTACCAAATGAACCAAAACCATACAAAACGAAAGCAGTTTCTCACAAATAAAAACGTCGTTACTATAAATTGAAAACAATGCAGGTGATATGTAAAAAATCACTGCCACTTCAAGGTATTATTTGTTCATAGAACAAAAATAAATAATCAAAGAATTTTGAGTAATAGCAAAAAGTTTGCTCTTTCTACACGTATATAAAGTTCTCCGTTATGATATTTATATTTTTTAGATTGTGGAAAGGGAAAAAACCCAAAAAAGGTCAATAAAATCTATATGCATTTGAAATTTTATTCAAATCGAAAGGGTTATATTTTTGGAGAGATTAATTTTTGTATGAAGTAGAAAGCCAAACACTTCAATTCCCAAAAATTTGAATTTTAGTATTGTTTACAATCAATAAAAAGCAGTTTCAATTTATTTCTTCAATCACTTCAAGAAGGTAAATCCGAAATTTGAAAAAAGGCGATGTTCCATTCAAAAAAGTTGGTATATTATGGTATCGTTTTGAAAAACACTACATAAAAATAAAAAATAGTCTACTCCCAGAAATTTTCAAAAATATTATTTATAACAACCATCCATAACAACCACATCTGGGCAGAAGATAACCCATATGCGATAACGCAAACTCATTTCCAAGACATATTCTCTTTTACTGTATGGGTAGGCATAATTGGGTATTATTTAATTGGGCCCTATTTTCTCCCCTTGCGTTTGAATGAAGATGCTTACCTACATTTTTTGGAACACGAGCTTCCCCAACTTATGGAAGATGTTCCCATTGGTCTCCGAAATCACTATTGGTTTATGCACGATGGAGCTCCTGCTCACTTTAGTGTGACAGCAAAAACTTTTCAGACGTAGCATATCCCCAAGGATGGATAGGAAGAGGATGCACTGAGCATTGGCCCCCGAGGTCACCGGACCTCAATCCAGTCGATTTTTTCTTTTGGAGACATCTAGTTTATGCAAGCCCCATTGAAAACGAGGAAATGTTGAGGGATCGCATCATAGCTTGCTGCGAAACGATGAGAAACACTGCGGGCATTTTTCAACGGGTGCGGAATTCTTTATTGAGGAGAGCAGAAGCTTGTATCACTGTTGTGGGTCGTCACTTTGAACAGTTGTTGTAATAGTTGTTTCGTTCAATTTTTATATGTTTTACTTCCCTAATAAATAACGTAGTACTTCTCCAAATTGTTTTTTTTTTACAAACTCCGAAATGTAGCACCTTCTAATTGAATAATCAAACCTGACAATTTTTTTTTAATTTGGATTGAATAAGCAGTTTGATAATGCTCAGTTTAGAAGAAGTATGTACGGGTATACTGCGTATAAAGTTTGATGAAAATAATTTATGGCAAAAATCTACCATGTTTTGAAAAATTTCAACAATCTGTATTTCGAAAACGAATCATTCTTCGTTAAACATTTTATAGGAAAAAGTTGCTTATTTTGACGAGATCCACCACATACTTAGTTTTTGTAATGTTCTCATCAACTTCACTTAGCGCCCTAGGAGCTAAGTAATATGCATCGATATAGAAAATTGTAAATATCTCGAAAACGATCACCTCCAGCGTTGTTGAGGAGGTGTTTCTTTTTTTATTTGGAAAAGGTGTGGGAATTAGGCTTTTTCATGAAAAGTACCAAAAGTTAGGGCAATTTGAAATAAATAATGACAGCGTACGCAGCGCTGCCTAGATGTTACATGAAAATTAATACGAAGTTATGATTTCCCACGTCAAAAAAACCCCGTGTACCGAATTTCGTGCAAATAACTTATTTTTTTCAAGAGTTATTTTCAAAAAGCGAACAAAAAAACTCGATTTCAACACTCCGTATTTCCGAAATGAATCATTTTCGGACACAAGTTTATATAGACTTTTTTTCTTAAAATTGTCTCAGGAATACGTCACTTGAATATTTTAACGTACTTATGTTACACCCTGTATATCATACAGTGTGTAACAACGAAAACTTAACAGAGCCGTTTTTTAATATAAAAAGTAAGATTTTTAAAAAAAGCTCGGACACGTCGATTTCTAATTGAAGGGAGACACCTTTCAGACTAATCAGATTTTTTGTAGTACGCACCCCCTCGGAGGGGTGCGTCCGACGACCCTTAATTAGATAGGGAAAGTAGGTCGAATGGCACCTTGTTTCAAAGGTCTTTCGAATACCTTTACATCTCTGTTAAAAGAAAATTTTTGTAACGATTAGTTTTCGAGATAATTTGAAGATTTAAAAGTATTTTTATTGAGTTCAACTCTTTTTAAAATAAACCAAATTGTTAAGGTACAATTTACGTTCAGAACTTTCATAAAAAAAAAATTTTTTTTATGGCAACCTGCTAATACGTGTCCATTTGATTTCGTAAAAAAGTAAGAATTATTTGTTTATTACGAGGAGATTTTTACGGTTGATGGGGTTGGTTACCACCCTTACATTTTAGGTAAATTGAGTGGCACCTCCTTATGAAGGTTGCATTTTGACGTGGATATTTTATGCTTCTGATAAAAAAGTGAATCATACTAAAAACTTACCTACACAACGAATACAACCTGCTGATTTCCTTGAATGCTGATGACACAGAAAAGTTCAAAAAACTGTTTTAGGGTTAATAAATCCCAATAATTGTTTTTTCAGCACACACAAAAAAATAACACCTAATAAGGGTAACTCACATAGAAAATTTAGAGTAAATATTCAAAATGTGCGCCATTTTGCTCCATGCAACAATTAAAGATTTTGTTCTTACATTATTCAACATCTCAGGAGTTATAGCTCGGCATTCATCAATAATTCTACGACGTAATTCATCCAAATTGGCTGGTTGTGTAGCATAAACTTCAGACTTTAAATATACCCCCAAAAAGTATTCCAGTGGTGTTGAATCTGGAGATCGTGCTGGCCATTCAATTGGACCTCTTCTGCCAATCCATTGTCCTTCAAAATGATTATTAAAAAAATTTCGAACCTGCTGGGCATAATGGGGTGGTGCACCGTCTTGTTGAAAATAGATAAATTCATCTTGACATCTTGGATCCTGTTCAATTATTTCAACTATACGAGGTTGTATTGCCTCTTCAAGAAGTTGTAAATAAGAGTCGCCGGTTAAATTTCCATCAATGAAAAATGGACCTATAATATGATTGCCTAATATTCCGGCCCAGACATTCAACTTTTGGGGATGTTGGGTATGTATTTCTGCGTATTATCTTGGGTTTTCATCCGACCAATAACGGCAATTGTGACGGTTCACGCAACCATTTAAATAAAATGAGCTTTCGTCCGAAAAAACAGATGTTATAAAGCAGCTCGGGATTCTGCATTAATCTCTCACTCATGCCCTCACAAAACTCCTGTCTTCGGTCAAAATCATCCTCATTGAGTTTATAAACAAGTTTAATTTTGTAAGGATGGAATTTGTGGTTTTCAAGGATTCTCCATGCGCTCATATGGCTTATTCCGGCCATTGCTGATAAACCTCTGGTACTTAACCTAGGATTGGCGATGACTTGACCAATCACTCCAATCGCATTATCGTCATTCACTACCCTTCTCTGAACATTTCTTTTCTTATTTAAAACCGAACCTGTCTCCCTGAATTTTGTGACCAAATCCAGAACGTGATTTCTGCTTAGGTGTTTACCAAGGTTTTCCTCGTTAAATAAAATCGATGTTCTATTAGCATTTTGGTCGTTACCAAAAAATAAAGCAATAACTGAAACCCTTTCAGCGGTAGTGTAAGGCATTTTTAAACAAATAACAATACACGACCCGTTTAAACAAAACAATCGAACGATGTACTAATGAAAACTGGAAGAAGAGGAGTGGGTATTGATTTTAAAAAAGGGATTTTGTTTAACAAAAAAACTGACAAGAACTGCTCGAAAATTTTTTTATTTAGGCATACAAGTTACCGAGTGGTCTGTCTAATGTATTATTAACATGGCAATTTTAACTTCAAATTATCTCGAAAACTAATCGTTACAAAATTTTCTTTCAACAGAATTGTAAAGGTATTCGAAAGACCTTTAAAACAAGGTGCCACTCGAACTACTTTCCCTATCTAAATAAGGGTCGTCAGACGCACCCCTCCGAGGGGGTGCGTACTACAAAAAATCTGATTAGTCTGAAAGGTGTCCCCCTTTAATTAGAAATCGACGTGTCCGAGCTTTCTTTAAAAATATTACTTTTTATATTCAAAAACAGCTCTGTTGAGTTTTCGTTGTTACACACTGTATATATTTCAGCTTCCTAGGACTTACCATCCAGTAATACTTGATGAAACTCAAAAATACTATGGTTTTGGTGAGTTCCCCAAAGAATGCCAGTATCCTAAGACGCTTATTACATCACATATCTAAGGAATCAAGTACCAGCCTTTTATTTGTGACATAATTTCAAAAAACAACCAAATTTTGTGTTCGTTTCCAAGACTATTACTACTCTCCAGTTCAAAAGATTAATTCAAATCCAATTGTAGCTCGTGTTTATGAAATCATCAATTATTCAACAAGTGCTTCCTGGACACGGTAATGTTTATATCAAATGAACCAGGCGAAAGAACAAGTAGGATATCGATTGTGAACTTTAACGAAAACAAATCCGTCGAACAGTACTGGCAGGTTTGAAAACTAAAACACATCATGCGATACAAGGAATACGAAAAAAATGTCGTCGGTCTGCATTTGTACCATTCGAGGCCACGACGTCGCAAAACCTTTGCTGAAATGCTGAAGGAAGAAGCAAAGCAGTTCTGTCTGAATACTGCTCTCCACGGGTATCGATTTATAGTGCTGCCCAAACGTATATTGTTGGAAAGGTAGGTTATTAAAATCTGTATTTTATCAAACATACTACCGGGACAGTCAGAAGTCCATAATGGCACTTTGACCACAAAAAACTACCTACTAGTCTTGAGAATGAATTAAATGAAGACATTGAAGAACTTTCATTTCAGAACACTTCCGTCAAAATGTACCTTTTCTGGTAATAATGTCAGTCTGTATCTTTGTGATACAAATCCTTTTCGAAAGTGGAAACTCTGGATACTCTCGAAGGAATGGCAAAAGAAAACTCGGCTGGTATTGATGGCATCTGAAGAGTTACTGCGAAAAAAAATATTAATCTTATACCATCAATGTTCTTGATGAATCAATGTTTTCCAAAGGGTTCTCATATTCCCTCGATACAAAGAGATTGCTTTTCTTCCCCTCTGAACTGTTTGAGGAAGTTATTAGTAATATAATTCTGTGCATGGCTTCAAGAAAAACAATTCAATCGAGTCAGTTTCATACCATTCATTAGATATAATTAATACATAGGTTCATTTTCGACGAACTGGTTGTTACTCCTTTTTTAAATTTGTCAAAAGCATTTCAGACAATTTCATGTAATTAAACTAGCAGGCCTGAGTTTCTCAAATAATGTATATGGCTTGGTGAACTCATACGTAACGATAGCAGTCTAATAGTCAGCTGTAATGGAATATAATCAAGTCCCGAAAAGTCCCCGGAAGTGCCTAGAAGTTCTATCCTAGGGCCACTGTAATTATTCATTTTTATAAATGACTTGTCTGATTTTTTCTGAATGTCATATAATCATGTATCAGTTAATTCAGTAGAACAAAAATTCATTGTTCGTTGTAGTGAAATCATTGATTAGGAGGGAGTTCAGCACAATAAATGATGTTCAAGTTGTTGACAGTGTCCCGTGAAAGTGAAATTTTATCTCTTTCGAATACTATATTGTGTAGCAATCTCAATTTTTTTATGACAGTCTGGCTATGTAAACATGTGGAGGTTTCTCAAGATTAGCTCATGATGTACTGGATAAGTACAAATAACTTTTTCAGATATTCTGACAGTACCAATTTTATCAGTTTTGAGTTCTTTAACAACATGCCTTGTAGGCACATCTACAAGGCTTATTAATAAATGTTCAGAATACAAACTGAATAGAAAAACGTATGATCCAATGTTCAATGTTCATTTGTTTTGTATAAAGATGGACAAGTTGCAAGCCAAAATCATTCTTTCCAAAGAATCTATGAAATGAATAAATAAATGAGTTCCAGCAATCGTTGAGAATCACAAATGCAAGAATTTTGGTATCAAGTTCTATCTAGTAACCTAATTGTAGTGAAAGCTACAAAGAGAAAGTTTGGGAACTGAAGAAAGATCACCACCTCTCATGTGAAAGTCTAATATTGTTTCACTAGTTCGGACTTCCATTGTCTACTATGTAAAATGATTTGAAATCCCTGAAACAAGTAAAAAAGAATAATTAAAAAAGAATAGTTGAAAATAACAATTATATTATTTTCAACTATTCTTTTTTAATTATTCTTTTTTACTTGTTTCAGGGATTTCAAATCATTTTACATAGTAGACAATGGAAGTCCGAACTAGTGAAATTCATCACGAAACATTGTCAATCACCTTCAAACAAACGTTCTAATATTGTTAGTGCCATAACATTTGACACATTAGATACGATTTTCAATATCACTGAAAAGTTTCAAATCCCTGATTGATAACCTGTTCTCCATTTTTTATTCCAGAATTTTTTGGGCAATTGTATGCTTAGTTGCCCTAACAACCGCTCTATCGTTACTCTTCATAGCTTGGAGTGATTTCAAAAAGAATCCAACGGTACTAGTAACCGATTCAAATCATCATCCAGTATGGCAATATGAGTTTCCAGCAGTAACAGTTTGTGACTTCAATATCATATCCAAAAAAGCAGCGGTTCGTCTCGCAAGAAACTTGTAAGTATGTTCAAGCTGAAAGGAAAGTCAGTAATTGAAAACAAGATAAAGAAAATACGTTGTTTAACTTGTTTTTATCCATATCTTGGTGACTATTCCAGACTCTTTTTTGTCTCTGATCAGATTTATTCACAATTCCATTGGGTACTTAGGATTTTTCAAGTTATTTCTCAATTTTTTGATTGTTCACTTATGGCCATGAAGGTATAATAATTTCAAACGTTTTTGGTAAGAAAGGTGAATACTACTGGACAGGGCCGTAGCGGGGGGGGGAGGAATCCAAATTTTCCCAACTCCACCAGCAAAATTTCACACCTTTCGAAGAAATGAAAGCCGAGGGATTAGTTACTACTATAATATATTAATTTTCTTACTTAGCTATCCAAAGATTGGCTGAATGTTTATGCCCGTTAGAGTATGCACAAACAAAAATAATTTTTGGTAATTATAAAAATAATAATGGGAATTATTCTACTTTGGACCAAGGTCCTTGTTCTTCCACCAGATCCACCATGTATAGGAATATTCAATACAAATGAAAGGAAACAACACTTAAATAATATTGTGCCCATTGTTTTCTACTATTATTTTTTCTGTCTTCACGGCCCGAAGTTTCCCAACTTTTCCAAGTCGGAAAAACAGCGAAAAGTTGGGAATTTTGTAAAATTGTCACTTCAAAATTTGTGGACTATTCAGGACTGTTTTTTTACTTGGGAGAAATTAAACTTTTTTGAAGATTTCAAACAACTCAGAATTCTCTTCAAGTTATGCATGTTGGGAAATCCCTACCTTCTCCTGGTTCTTTCCCTTTTCTTATTACCTCTCCTTTTCTTTTCTCTCATTTTTATTTTTTTAATTGTTATTCATTTTTTTACTATTATTTTTTTCTATCTTCACGGCCCAACTTTTCCCAACTTTTTCCTGAGTCAAAAAAGCAGGGGGGGAGGCTCCCCCCATTCCCTCACCCCATGGCGACGGCCCTGTTACTGAATCCTGAACCTTCTCTGACATCAATTATAAGGAAAAATCTTGGAATATGGAAAATTGAAGATTTTATCTGAATTAAAAAGAAACAAAGCATCAGTGAAGAACACCTCCACAACAGAATATCTAAAATGTTATAGTAGAATGAATTTTTTTAAGACAAAACACAAGCACCACAGGAGAAACCTGTGGCGAGACATATTGGTGTCCATTTTAATCCCCAACAAACTCATCGAAGCAGAAAGCGGATTTTTCTGTAGCATTGAATTGAACCTGCTCACTTCCACCCCAACGCAAAATCTCCTCTAGGTCCTCATTGACATATGGAACCTCCTGCTGCCGGTGAAGATGTGCCTCCGTAGCCGATGTCCAGGAATCCAATTGGAATGACGAGACAAGTGTGCTGTCGTCAGCAGACAGAGTAGGTAGAGCTAAGAGTGGAGTAGGTAGAGATTTTCCCTTTCATCAATGAGGACTTGATTGATAACGATCAACAAATATTTTGACAGTGCAAAAACTGCAGCAATTGTGCATTTTCTTCCACAAAACTAATGTTTGTTCTCTGATAATACTTCATGTGTAGCCTATTGAATTGATGTCACTCAGAAAGACATATCCCAATAATCTATTGACTGGCCCGAGTCCGTGACACCTCGATGTTTGAGAAATGAAATCACAAAATGACAAAGGTACTAATAGCAGGGGAACCCACGATGCAAAATGGGGATTTACTCGAGCATCATTGAGACATATTAGGTTGCAAAGCTTAGATGATAAGAAGAAAAAAATGTTATATAATATATACCTTTTCATCGGTGGGGAATGCCGCTATAGATGTTTAAATATGTAAATAAAATACTGTTGCATGGACATACTCGAGCGAGTTATGTGAAGAGATTTTGCAGACTATCCAAGGAAATGCAGTGCTTGTAGATACCCACCCCGGATCCAGAAACGATTATCTTCATAACTTTTTATTTATTCTATTTGCAGATCTCGATGTGAGAAGTTCTCTAGAAATTTTGTATTGTAATTTTGAGTAAAATAAATTGTTTTTAAAAACGGTTTTCGACTTCAAAGTTACTTAACTAGCGCGTCAGATATTGATAGCATCAATGTCCTACGTATTTTTAATAATGTTCGTATGTTAATCTGATCGTTTGCATGATGCGGGTGGTTGTACGTATAAAAGTGAAAAAAAAAAATTTAACGAGCGCGTCAGATTTTCTAAGGGGGTGTTAAGTGCAACAAAAAAAAGCTCTCATTAAATAATCTGACGATTTCGATCTGACGCAAACTCGCGGCCATCATTATAATGTGCCATATATATGATGAGCTGTTTTCTCGGGTTTCGCTCCGTGTTCTATGTATTTTATCCCCATAAGGATTATTTTCACAATGTTTCGGCAAAGTCTCAATTGCCATCTTCTGGTGGTGTCTGGTTTTTTCAACTAGACTGATTAGTTCGAACTCTGTGTCTCAATTTATAGGGATGGATGTTTCCCTTTACCTGCGTTGCTGCCACTACCTGTGTTTGTTTGACTACCTGTTTTGGTCTTATTACCTGAGCTGCCTCTCCTGCCGCTGTTATTGTACCTGTATTGTCATGTGCCGAGTCTTGCGGTCTGATTGCTTTTGCGAAGCGATAAAAAGGATCTCCATGTTGATGGTAATCTTTGCGCATCATCCCTCTTGTTCATATTATTGGGTCGTTTTTCAATTTCGATAGCCTCTCTGATTGTTCGTGAGTAAAAGTTTTCGTTGCTTGCTAGTATTTTTGTGTTATCGAAATTGATGTTTTGTCCTGTCTGAAGTACGTGCTGGAAGAGAGAAGACGTGGTTTCTTTTCCCTTCACTGCTAGTTTGTGTTCATCTTTGGGAATGTTGATTCGTCTATTGGTCTGGCCGATGTTAGTCCTGTCACAATCATGGCATGGTACTTCATACACTCCTTGTGACTCCAGTGGTATCTGATCCTTGGGACTACGAAGCATGGACCTTATTGTCCTTTATATAAATTTGAAAATGTCCATATATATATTGTATAAGTTTGAAAATGTCCTTATAGGACGATACTGCAGTAACGTTCGTTACAAATAAAAGTGGTAGGTAGGTAAAAAAAAAAGAAAGTTTAGTTTCTCTTTTCTTCATTATGATTTCCTACCACGTAGTAACGGCTACATCCATCAATTAATTGATTAATTATTCATCTTCATCACGAACGAGTCTCTGTGATTAGCTGCGATGGCGTCATGGCAACAGAATTCAGAGTGGGGACGGAGTGAGAAAGTAATAGCTAGAGAAAAAGTGAAAGAGGAATAGAAACTCGGAGAGGGAAATATAGGTATCACACAGCCTAAACTTTATCGACGAATTTTTGTTATTTCGGCTTGCGGAAATCGTCAGATTATATATTTTTCGTTTTCCTTGAATTATTTCCTTAATAAAAAAATTAGCTACGCTCGAGAATGTCGAATTGACGTTATTTTTCTACAACTTTGCTGCCCTCTCCTTTCTTTACGTCACTCTCAAATTGTCAGATTACTGGAATATACACTTTTTAGCAGGTAATTAACTCACCCTACCTTAATCTGACGCGCTCGAGAATTTCTGATGATCAATTTTTTTTTACTAATCTGATCCTTTATCCCTCACAGGCGGCCTTATATATAGGGCTCATATTTGGTGGAGGTACTTAACCGGGTACAAGGTATCCCCCTGTATATTAATCTGTCGCGCTTTAGTAAATCCCAAAATCCCCGCTTGGGCTCCCCTATTATAAGTATGTTAGTCATGTTTGTAAATTTTTCAAGAGAAACGGTGATTCAATAAGCACCATTGGATGCAAAACGTCTTATTGATTGGGTGATAACATTCATATCAGATATATGGATTTTCAATTGCAATAATGCAATTTGTTTAGGTATTGTTTTTTTTTCTCAGGACCAAGGGAAGCAACACAAACGAACTGGTCCAGCAATTCAGGCTTCTCGCGCAGCTCATCAGGAACACTAGAATAGACACCCCGTTCAGTAACTTCTCTCAGCTCCAAGACATTCTGGACGAACACAAAATGTCAATAGAAACCGTCATGCAAAAACTCACTCCTTCTTGCGACGAAATTTTAGTTCGATGTCTTTGGAAGGGAGAAGAAAAACGATGCGATAGTATTTTTGAGCAAATCAAAACTACCGAAGGATTCTGTTGCTCATTCAACTACTTTGCTTTCAATCACACTTTTGGAGGGTAAGTTGGAAAACTATATTCGATTTGAAATTCAAACAGAGGCACTCAGAGGAAATTTAATTATTCCTAGTCAAATGATGCCTATCGATAAGCGCATGTTATGTGTTAGTGAATCTAGATGCCTGCCGGAAAACAACTACTTCCCCGACTAATACCACGCTGGATACTGAATTATCTTCAACAGACATTTGTGCAAGATACCTCACAGAAGTTAGTCTCGCAGATGCAGTGACGGCTCGTGCATTGGAGAACAGGGGAGGCTTAAGTTATATACACACGCTTTGCTTAATACTAAAGTCAGGGCATGGGCATGACAATGCGTCAAAAGTGCATGAGGAGCTATGGACTTTATTTTAGTTTGTAAACCATTTAAATCGCCGGCCATGACCGCAGCCCTAACATAGGTTTGCGCAATTAACTTTTGCCTAAAATTATAGGCGTCACACGTACGAATTAAAAAATTAAACAAATCGTCAGCTGTGCGCCCAGATGAAACGTCATGGAAACCCATAAAACGTTCTACCACATTACCATCTTTGACATATCTAAAAACGATTGAAAGTTGCGATGTACAGGTAATATCGGTAGTTTCATCAATTTGCCATGCAAAAAAAGAAACACTTTCAATCTCCTTGTTTATATTTTCCTTAATAATGTATGCCACACTGTCTACAATAAGCTCATTATGGATGGTTTTTGAGGTGCCTAAAAAAACTGTACCGTTTAAAAAAGTGCCAAATTGTGAAATTTGACCCATAACACGAGGTAAATTTTTTAAATCGGAGTATCCTATTTTAGACCACGTTTGGTATTCGGTTTGTACGGAAAATAAAACAGGGCCAACAAAAAAGTTTTTCTCGTTTAATGGAGCCGGTTAACCAATCGCATTTATCGTACCAACTAATAGGTATTAAATCCACGATTTTGCCAATTATCTGACGATTTAATTGAAATCAAATTTGGTTGAGGTCTTCCGAAAGTTTAAATAATGTAAAATTTATTATCATAAGATAAAGACTTAAAATTATTTGTCAGCAACCAATTGACTATATCGTCAGATTTTTTAATTTCGTCCAACTTATCTATAATAAATGGAAAAAAAACTCATGAAAAGTGAACAAATATTATCAAGAAACACTAAAACGAATTACCGGAATATTTCTTAGTCCCGGTCCGTCACGGTCTCCCATCCGAATAATTAAATAAAAAACAAACGCAGTGGTACACTAACGGAGACCAACTGGAGGCTAGCCTCCTCTGACGCTATAATTTCTGCAACTGAAATTACAAATCGGGACTATGTCGCTGGTTGCAACGGTTTCGTGGAGCCTGTGTTTTTTAAAGCGGTCGAAGGCTTGGCTCCCTTGCAACGTATGGCATTATTATTTCGGTTTGATAGTTTATTCGTTATTCGTTCATGGGCGATGCGTTTGAGTTTTGTTGGTGATGGATACAGTGTGGTATGTACTACGTACTGTGTGATAGTGTTTTTTCGGGCATATTATGTATATATATTAAAAATTAATGGTAAAGTAATGATACCCAAGCATTTTTGGAGAAAATTAATCATAATTATTTGTCAATATCTTTCAATTTATTGCAATGAATAGCCTCAAATTTTATGGGGAGGCTAAGCCTCCCTTGCCTCCTCTGACGAGCCGCCGCTGCGCAGATGTTTCTCGTTTATCCAGCAGCTAAAATGCAGAAATTATTCAAGTAGATCACTTGCAGACATTGATTGCTGATCTTCTAAGCAACTTATAAATTAAACTGGTAGCTACTGTGGGCAATGCAAATCTCCCATTGACTAATTTTTGTCTGTTATCTCTTGAAATAGTACATACATTTATAAACTTATATGTGAATATTATATTTAGATTTACTATTGGACTAATAAAGCTCTAATATACGATGTTCACCAGAATTGGCCCCAGTATAGTTTCTAATATCACTCAATTTTCTTGTTGAATCACAGATTCTATGAGTGGGTGGTTATTACAGGTCACTAGCTAGAAAATCCCCCAAAGAACCAAGAAGAGTTTCAGGCTGTGGGTACCAAACAGGACTAGAAGTGATGGTAAACAACAATCCAGATGATTATGTGGCTTCCTATATTCCATCAATTGGTCAAAAGGTTCGAAACATCTCTATGCTGCAGTGCTAAGACAGAAGGTCGTGACTGACCAAAAATTGCATTTCAAGGTTTTCGAATATTTCGCTTCTATTGAACACAACCTATCCAAGGGACAAAGTCAGAATGTCGTATCTTCACTCTAAATACCTAAAATAACGTACACTATTTGTCGTATCTCGAGAATATCAAGCGGTTACTAAATCAAAGTAGCTTATCTGATTGATGCTGAGTCATGTCGTCCTATCTGACAGTTGAGACTTCTCTTATTGCTATTCATATAGAATTTGATAAGCAAATACATGGTCGAATTGTCCTATCTGCCCTGCACTGAGTCAGATTGTCGTAACACTGCTTTATAATTCTATATACGACTTTTGAACTTACGTTGACTTCAATTGAAATATGATGCGTACAAAATCTGGCTGAAAATGTGATACTTACGCCTGTTCAATTTAACAGAAGTGAGGTTATGTGTGTGAAAGGTATTCATTATACCAACTTTAAATACATTTCTATTATCACGCAGAGATGCCAAAGAAATAACACTTTGGATGGGTAATTGTGCAGCCCAGAATAACTGGGCTCTGTACTGTTTTTTAGTTCACTTCATTAATTCTGAATGCAGGGGAGACCGGGGCAAGATGAAATTCGGGGCAGCACGGTAAGTAAGCTTACCTAAGCAAGTAAGCTTGTGTGCGTGAATAGTAATCGTGTTCGGAGCGGCGACAGTGCCATTTGCACGAACTTCACTCTCCGCTAGTATGTCCAAGCAGAGCGAACAGGTTAGGACTCGTTTTTGCGTTGCAGAGAGAAAAAAGTTATATTGCAAGTGTTTTTACACGATATTTGATTCGAAAACTGATGCACAGACATGTGAGTACCTGTGTTGATGTATTATTTCAATCCCGAGCTTATTATAGTAGTCCAAAACATTAAATTCAAACCAGATTTTTTCGCCGGTAAAGTTTGAGGTTAAAATTGCGTCATCTTTTTTACCTACCTGTGGATCGGGGCAAGATGATGGGGGCATAATGGGATACTATCCCGTTTTGCCCCGACCTTGTGATTAAAATAACATTTTCTATGTACTGATAATCAAGTGACTGAGAAAGATAAAAACCAAATAAAAAAACCAAAAAAGACTGCAAAGAAGATTAAAAAGACAACTGACAAGGAAAACCTGCAGAAAAAGCGTTAAACCAAAAGGTGCAAAAAAGAAACTGAATTGGAAGATAGTTCATCCCAAGAAGAGGATGATGACTGTGCTTGCATCTATTGTGGGTACTTATACTCAGGATCAACCGAAGGTTGGGTCATCTGCGGCGTGTGCCACGGTTGGGCGCATAATTCATGTGCCGGAGTAGAAGAGGAAGATGAAGAGGCACACATTTGTGAACGCTGTCTACCCGATTAAAAAGCGTACTCGTTTTGCCCCACAGCGTTTCCCATCTTACCCCAGTTATGGGGCAAAACGGGAAATTTGACGAGTTTCTTTTTTTCATGATTTGCCAAAAAAAGTTCTGTGATTTTGCATGCTACAACGTTTAATTATAAGAGAGAAATGTATAATGGTTACCTCTTTTGTTAAAGAATGTTATTAAAGAGTTTAATTTTCCTTATATAACGAGTTTTGTCTTAGCTATCTCATCTTGCCCCAGTCTCCCCTACAACAATAAATTTACTGAAACTCAAATATCTTCAAACTGGTCACACTTTCATGAGTGCTGACTTATTCCATCACCAAGTGGAAAAGTCATTAAAACAGAATGGCAAAGTCATAGATTTTGAAGACTATAAAACTTGTGTTCAAATATCAGATAGTGGACGTACGACCTGCATTCATATGGATGTAGATGACTTTTTGGATGTTACAGATTGTTCATCCAGATTCAAACTAAAGAAAACGGAGCCAAAACCTCTATTATCTTTGTTTTGTGAAGTACATTTCGTGAGAGGTTCCAAAAAACTATTTTACAAAACAAAGTTTGTTAGAGAGCGAATTGAATTGTGTTTCCTAACTGCGAAAGCTCTGAAAGAAGGAATAGCTCGGCCGCAAATCAGATCCACTCCGAAAGGAATGAACCCAACTCGAAAACATAACTTGATTCAGAAATTACAAGGGATGTCTGTACCCAAAAATAGACTCAAGTTTTGGGAGGAGTTACCGGAGACCGAAGAAGAAACCGGATTAGATTGAAGTTTTTTAATAAAATATTTTAATAATCAAAAACTGATTTTACTGATTTTCCATTCTCAGTTCTCACTAATTATTGTGAGTACATGATTTTTTGTTCCCAATTAATCCTAATAAACATCACTTATTCATTTGGTTAGTTCATGTCAAACTATTGAATCATTAACGACTCACCACACTAAACGACAATTCTCCAAAAAGTAAATTCTGAATACAATAAACACTGATATTCCAATTGGATTTACTAATCTCCAAATAACTCAAAACTCTTGCAAAACTAGATACGACCTCTTGTCTAAGCACGGCAGTATGTCCTGTCAACATTTCAGTGTAACCCAAATACCAATTTCCAGCCCTCAACCCATCACATACAACACATAAAGTGATTCTTTTTTCAGATCCTCATACATAATCCCTACTACTTTCCGGACTGGACCGTGCAGGCTATTTTGAATCAGAGGAGAATCGTGAATCTCATCAGCCTTATCCCGACGATAACCCACTCCACCGAAGACATAAAGAGAATGGACGTGGATATCAGGAAATGTTTATTTTCACACGAGAGAAAGTTGATTCACTTCGAAAGGTACAATTACCATAACTGTATGGTAGAGTGCAGGATGAATTTGACGAGGAGGCAATGCCGCTGCATTCCCTTTTATAACATCCACAATCCACGTGTGTATGAATATAAGAAATACCTATGTAATTGCTTTCTTTTGCATCTGTCACTACTAGTGAAGCATTGTACCAACTATACGTTTCTTTTTATTTCAGTTCATGATGCTAAACATAAAATATGTTCCTTAAGAGATATTCCGTGTCTTGAAGAAAATTATGGTGAGATATAGAAATGAATCCAGTTATTCAAATAAAATATCTTCAGTAAATAATATGGTTAATGAAATAACTCTTTCTGTGTGAGTTTTGCGAATGAGTGAAATGAGTTCTTTCTGAAAATTCACAAGAAGAACATCACTGGTCTCGAAACCGTGCCCTGTTATTTTGCGCAGTATTATAAAGTCATTGAAAATACCAAAATAAATGTTTCATCAAAAACTTTGATCAAAAAGTAATACAGGGTGTAACTCATCGAAAATAAGATTGGATATTTCATATAAATAAACTTCATTGAAGCATCCCTTGTTAAGATACAGCTCCTTGAAGGGGGTACATAACATTTGTATAACAATTTTTTTCACAAGCACTGAAAAATTTACAATATTGAAATGAACCTGACGTTTTATAGTACCAAAAAGACACTTAGCCAGTAATTTATTTGGTTTACCCCATAGTTGTAAGGGGTGGAAAACGCAACCCTTAAAATGTATTTCCAATGTAACTTTTTGTCTTATTATATGTTTACCATTTAAAAATTTATTTCCGATACCCTGTTTCATTCTAAACAAAAAATGTCTCTTGGGTTTTTTGCCCAAAATAAACCAGTTCGCAGCAAAAAATTATTTTACAAACAGCTACAGAGATACATCGTCATAAATGCGAACTGGATTTATTGTTATTTTGTAGTTAGTACCTGCATTAAACGATTAAAGGGTGATAAACAAAACTAATTTATTAATAACAAAACACACCACATGTATAAATCATAGTAATTGTTCAATATGTCTACCTTCAGACATTACGCATGCGTCTAGACGTCGGCGCATTGAGCCACGTATTCGCTCAAATATTCCTGGAGTCTCTCTGCATCGATGATGCGGTTTCTTAAGTCCTCTACATCACGAACAGGAGTACGATAAATCAAATGCTGTAAATGGCCCCAAATATAGAAATCTAGAGGATTGAGATCTGGGGATCGAGCGGGCCAGTTCTGTGGGACTCCTCGACCTATCCACTGATTTGCATATGTTTCAGTTAAATTCTGACGTGCTACTTGACTAAAATGGGCGGGAGCCCCATCATGCATAAAAAATATATCCCTTCTGACGCCCAAAGGAACTTCCTCCAGCAGTACTGGATGCACTGCTCTTAAAAATTGAACGTATGCCTCACTATTTAATCGAGGAGGTAGAAAATGAGGCCCAATTAAATCATCCCCAATAACTCCGAGCCACACGTTAAGAGAAAACTGTTCTTGATGGTTACTTTCGACAATAGCGTGAGGGTTTTCATCAGCCCATATGTGGTAATTATGAAAATTAATAATCTTGTCCCGAGAAAAACTACGTATCGTCTTCAGAAAGTCACAATTTCTTCTAGTCATTTCCAGCATCCAATTGCAAAATTCAAGACGGTTCGGAAAGTCTCGCGGTAACAGTGACTGTACTCGTTGCAGATGGTATAAGATGGAGATGGTATAAGATGGTATAAGAGTTGTTCCTTTAAAATTCGAAATACCGTCAAATGATCAACATTTAGCTGGAAAGCAATCTTTCTAGTACTGGTAGTAGGTTGTTCTTCAATCAAATTAAATACTGCTTCCTCAAGCTGTGGTGTTCGTACTTCTCGATGGCGACCACAATACTGCGTTCTTTTGTCGAATGAACCATATTCTCGTAATCGTTGATGAAGTCGAGCAAATATTCTATGTGAAGGATGCTGCCGTTGAGGATACATTTCAGCATATCTTCTAGAAGCTTCTAACCCATTCCCCTGCGACAGACCGTAAACGTAATGCATATCAGCCATTTCCTCGTTTGTGTATGCCATTTTAATAACAAGTGAATTATTAAAGTAACAAATTAAGAACAGAACAACAACACACAATTATTAGTATTAATTCAATTTCGAAAATTCACAAACTGACAGCGTCATACCAATTTAATTGTCACTATCGCTAATAGCGACCTACTAGATAGATTAGTTTCGTATTTTCGTATTTATGATGATGTATCTCTGTAGTTGTTCGTAAAATATTTTTTTGCTCTGAACTGGTTTATTTTGGCCAAAAAACCCAAGAGACATTTTTTGTTTAGAATGAAACAGGCTATCGGAAATAAATTTTTAAATGGTAAACAAATAATAAGACAAAGAGTTATATTGAAAATAAATTTTAGGGGTTGCGTTTTCCACCCCTTACAACCATGAGGTAAACCAAATAAATTACTGGCTAAGTGTCTTTTTGGAAGTACAAAACGTCATGAAATGTTGCAATTGGTTTATTGTCTCCGTTACAGAGTACTCCTGAAATTGCTATTTTTGAGGCATCAGTTTTCAGTATGAAAGTGTTTTCAGCTGAAAAAT